ATAGATAGCTTGTTTTCAACAGCAACAATGCATCACCTAGAAGAGTTAGCGTCCATGCTTGGACCGAATGAGGTAAGCTTTATAAGCCAAGATGATAAGGCCGGCGTTCCGCTTGGGTTGACAGCAGCACCATTGCTCATGCACATGGAATACAGGGTGAGCTTGCCTGACCATGACTGGGTTGTGGCTGCTGGACATAAGCTGATCTCTTCAGTTTATGCCGGGATAAAAATTCAGCCCAACACCTTGGGAAATCGAAAAGCTGTTGGAATTTTGAATTTGCCGGAAACACTTTGGCAGAAATATGGTCACACTTGAATATATTTCCTACAGTGGCAGCGTACATCGATCCAGAAGTCTGAAGAGTCTGAAATCCTTGAAACTTCTCTGCTCACAAAGGATACGAGTTTGCACGATATTCATGTGAGAACTAAGCAGTATTTTACTCAGATTGTTAAATGCATGGATTTTAAATGTTGCTCAAATAATAGAAGCTCGTATTTCAGCTTAATGACTGATAGATTTCTTCCTCCACCTTAACCAGTCGTCCAAACAAGCTGTGGACTAAAAATACATGAGCGTCAACAGATGGATAGAAGTGGTAGACTTTGATGTAAAGCGGTGTTTTCCAAACATTTTGGAGTGGCGAACCTCTTTTATAAAAAATAAGTTTTTGTTAACGCCAACCTCATGCCATTCTCAACATTTCATTTATTTATTTGTTTTGTTTTTAATTGGAGAAGTGTTGAAAATACATTCTCACAAGAATATGTAGACACAAAAGAAGCTAAAACTCGAAAGGCTATCAATGTTTCATTTAATACGGCACGTGAATTCATCTTGTAATTTATCGGGACTGCTTGCAACATTAAGGGAAGCAGAGAATGGTTTACGAGTCAATGCATATGTAAGCCCTGCCAGGGGGGATACACCTTAAAATCTATCTAACTGTCCGGGTCAGTGCAACCGTGGTGAAACCCACGGTGGTTATATCTTATCCTTAGTCTAAATAAAAAAACTACTAAAATAAGACAAAAACTTTAACAATTAATAAAATGTATTTATCAAAAATATGGAGCCAATAAAAAAAATCATAGAAAAAGAATAGATAAAAACTGACACAAAACAGACACAACAAAACCAAACAAAACATTACGTTTGACCATTTGATGGTGTTGCGCCGACTTATGATGTCTAGGATGGTCCAGGCCCTGACACACAGAAACCTCCCTTCATCCATTCTCGACATCCAAAAGTCCACACCAAACAAAACACAACGTACAACCACTACGTACAATACTTTACGTACAAAACATTACGTACAAAACAATATATACAAAACAAACTTTTTACACCACACAAAACACCCAGCCAAGTTGCACAAGCAACCTCACTCCACGCGTGAGGTGCGCCACGCGCCCACACAGAAACCGACCCTGTCTAGATCTTGTCTTGGGTCAAAAGGAAGAAAATCCTCCGAGCGGTCAATTTATACTGACGCTTCGGGCGGAAAGGGGGACCCGTGGCCGTTCATCATTGGACCATACACTCGCAGATTCGCACCAAATAAAATAATACAAAATAATCCATTCACCCGCTCACATTTATATATATATATATATATATATATATATATATATATATATATATATATATATATATATATATATATATATATATATATATGTGTGTGTGTGTGTGTGTGTGTCGGCCTACATAGGCCTAAAATTTATATATATGCCACATACTGGTACACGTACGTGTATAAGCTTTAATCACTGCAGACTTAATAGTAACGATGTTTATCTACAGTCTGTTTATAATGCAGTTGTATGTGGCATTGTTTTCTTTATAGTTTACGTTTACGTCGTGGTGTCACCCCTCCCTCTCTTGATATAATTTTCGATTTGTACTTAAAAGACTATTTAACTTTAACTAATGGATCTGGAAAAATGGCATTTCATTCTATAAAGTTTGCAATTTTTTGCCTTTGGTGTCACCCCTCTAAATTGTGTCACCCATTGCGGTCCGCATCCCCCGCCCCGCCTTCGCTACGCCTCTGCGTTAGGCTACAGAGGAGTTAAACGAAGAGACCAACTTCTACTTGCGATGTGTATTTTTTAATATATTGTGAGGTGGTAGAAAAACACAGGGGTGTCCAAAAAAAAAACTCGCCATATTCTGCAAATTCTGCAGTGGTCAAAATTGACCAGTCGTATTTCCCTATATAATCTGTGTAATTTATGGGAAAATCAGAGGGTGATTTCAACAGATGTTAGGGCACTTACCGTCTCTACTTCTAGCTAATTTTTTGCATGCACCTATGTCAATGGCTAGGCCGTATGGAAAAAACTGTCGGTTCGACTCAAAGCCCTCCATATATATAATTCTCTTCTTGGAGACGTTAGAAAACAAGCTGTAAGTGCGCCTTGCAGTCTCCTCTCTTCCAATCTAGGAAGTCTGGTGAGCTGTGGTTCACGCTAAATGTTTACAATCGTAGAGCCGGGTTTAGTGACGGCTATTAGGGGCAGATAATTTAGTTTGAAACTATTTTAAACTTATTGGAGGTAACTAACAGGAGGCTGCTTTCAGGGGGGGGGGGGGGTTAGGTTGGGGGAAAGGAGGTTTTTAGTGTTTTAAAGCAAATATTTTCAGTGACAGCATTGGTACTGTCGAGTTCACAAATCACTGAAAAGTAGAAAATAAAACTAAATAGCGGCGCGTGATACGCCGCGGGCCGGCTCGTATACAAGTATAAAAGATAAAAGGGATCTGTTTCTATTCTAAACTATTTCCAACCTTAATTTTTACTTTCCCGTATACAGAGTATAGAGGAAGTATTGTAATCTTGCACAAAAAAATCACATGAAATTTTGACAGTTTTCATCATTTTACACCTCAGTAGAGTCAGTACTTCATCATATAAATATAAGGAGTATAGGGGACTTATTTTAATCGGGAAAATATTATAAATCCAGATTTATCAAAATTTCGGCGATTTATGCGTAATCGAGACGGAAAGACTGGGCTTTGCAATTCTGTCAGTATGTCTGTGTGCGTGTTTGTGTGTGTCTGTAAACATGATAACTTGAGTACCGTTACAGCTAGGTTGATGACATTTCATATACATATATTTATTATATATATTTATTTATATTTCATATATTTATTATATCAAATGTGTAGTTCTGTATAAACTTTTCAGCAATTTCTGGTAATCGGAAGTTGAACTTATTCTACTTTTGGTTTTTCAAAAGCCTATAACTTGACTACTATTTCAGATAAACAAAATTTCACAAATAAGTAAAAGATCTAATTCTTTGCCTTCTTTCAAATTTTGAGTAATTTCCGTTGACCGGAAGTAGTAATTTACGCTATTTCCGATTTCTCAAAAAACTCATGTGAATTTATAAAGTACTAATAATATTCCGCACTATTATACACATATTGTTTGGCGTTCACTTGGTGCGAAATTCTTTTTTGTACAAGATTCTGTTCTATTTTAAAAAGTTTAAGTAACTAAAAATGGATTGAAAATTATGTCTATATCCAGAGTTGCCATCCCCCGTAGTGTTATCTATATATATAATTCTCTTCTGGGAGCCGTTAGAAAACAAGCTGCAAGCGCCTCCTTGCAGTCCCCTCTCTTTCTCTCTATCACTATCACTATCACTACCACCCCCACCCCACATTGTCTGGTGAGCTGTGGTCACGCTGTTTACATTTTACAATCATAGAGACGGGTTTGGTGACGGCTATTAGAGGCAGATAATTTAGTTTGAAACGATTTTAAACTTAGAGGAGGTAACTAAGAGGAGGCTGCTTTCACGTGGGGGGAGGGGGGTTTAGTGTTTTTAAGCAAATATTTTCAGTGGCAGCATTGGTACTGTCGAATTCACAAATTATAAATTACTGAAAAGTAGAAAAAAAAACAACTAAATAGCGGCGTATGATACGCAGCGGGTCGGCTCGTATAAGAATATTCGAGAAAGTTTTCGGGAGATCACTCCCGGTTTGTTTATATATAAATCTTTGTAATATAAAATAGTATTCGCGTAATTCAACTTTATCATACGCTGACTCTAAGTAAATTAAGGCAATAAATTAATTTGCACATTCATACGTACCTAGATGGCTGAGATGATACTTTTTGATAATGTAGTAGTAGTTACGAGTAGTTACCATCATGTCTATGTTATTTTTTAAGACACAATGTGAAATCACAACACTAGCTATTGGTTATAATTCATTATTATTACTTTGACGTTGGTTTTAATAACTTATTCATTTATTATTCGAATGAGGATCGAGTTCAGAAAATATTATAGAAATAAATCGATGTTTATAGAGGATAAAACATGAAAGCTGAGGTGTGACTTCTTTTTAGATATGAATGATAAAGTTGTCTATCAGGACTTAGCGGAATACGGGACAGGTGAAGTAAAGTTAACCTTTTTTGTGACCTCAGCATATGAAGGTATAGTGGGGTCAGACACACGCTCAGCCGAAAACGGTGATTTAAATGACAAAAACATGTTGCTGATTTGTGATGTCTTTTTAAATGTGGGTTCTGGCTTTTTTTGTGACGATGTATGAAGGTGGGGAAGGGGAAAGTTAAAAAAAATCATCAAATAAACGTGGTGTCATTTATGGATGACCCCGAAACACAGTTATAAATTATAATCAAACTTGATTTTAAATGTACTTTAGAGTAGATGAAATAATAGGAGTGTAGTTTTGAATATTATATATTATTTCACTATACGGTTTGCCATTTAGCTAGCGCTTCTTGACTAAACTGTAGTTTTTAGCTTGGAAATAACGTTAATTCTCATATATATATATATTATATATATATATATATATATATATATATATATATATATATATATATATATATATATATCATATATATATATATATGTATATATATAAATATACGTACGCTCTCCCAAAAATATGCGTACGCGCCTGGGGTAGGGGCCGCTTATCTTTTAATGACCACGGGTCCCCGACTGATCTGATACCTGACTGGCCGGGTAAGTACTTATTTCATGTGCTTTTTCAAATGTACAAAATTATTTGGAGTAATCTATCCCCTCGAATTTTTTTAGCTATATAACAGACTGATCATAAATATCTCAATAACAGTCTTTGACGCATCACCTTCAGAATTATTTTAATTATCATTTTGTGATGGTAAATTACATTCCATTGTTGAAAGGACCTAATTTATACTGCTGCTTAAGCCTATAATAAATAAGTTTACAAAACAGGTTCTCTATAGCACATAAAAAGTTATTAGATCTGTTATTAGATCTAACATAATTGTACAATTGTATTGTTACAAAACAACATATATCGGTCTTTGACAATTCAATGTGCTTAAATTAGAATAAATTAATAAATTGTATTAAACCAACAGTAAATAAAAAGTTATATCAATGACACTTAAAAATAGAACATTTAAAAATTATTTTAAAGTGCAAAAGATATATCATTAAATTCAGTTAAATAATATGTACATAAAATTTACATTTACAAGGTTTAAATGTTGTATCACAAAGTAGCCAACAATATCAACATTTTTTGCATTAGTTTCGTCAATGAAAAGATTTGGGTTTAGGCACTAGCAACAAACTGTTTCATAGATGCTTCCTTCAATGAAAAAGGAACAAGCCTACGAAATATAACGAGGTAATAGCCAATGGTAACTACAATAAAAGCACAACAGCTGCCAAATGTGATCTGTGGTCCGAAGGAATCGTAAATTTGAGAAACATAAATAGGTCCAACAGTTCGGGCTAAACTCCCTGCTGCAGTCAACCAACCCATCCAAAGGCCCTGAAACAAAACGGGTCTTTTGAAACTAGGTGTGACATCTGGACACCGTGAATTACATCAAGTCTACTTAAACAACTCTTAAAAATCATGTCTGAAATTACTGTCTGAAATGGGTAAATGTCCAAAGTTTTGTCATGTCTTCGTGTCTATGCCCGAGGGCTAAATTAATTTAAACAATGTTGTGCAGATCCAGCCGATCAAACACTCAATCATTGAATTCAGTGCTGTTTTATCTATGTATTACTCAGTGACAGAAACAGAGATAGCCATTCGCATGGGGTGGCAGATCCCTCTCTCTTTCTCTCTCTCTCGCTATCTATCTATCTATCTCTCTATCTATCTATCTATCTATCTATCTATCTATCTATCTATCTATCTATCTATCTATCTATCTATCTATCTATCTATCTATCTATCTATCTACCTATCTATCTACCTATCTATCTACCTATCTATCTACCTATCTATCTACCTATCTACCTACCTATCTACCTACCTATCTACCTATCTATCTATCTATCTATCTATCTATCTATCTATCTATCTATCTATCTATCTATCTATCTATCTATCTATCTATCTATCTATCTATCTATCTATCTATCTATCTATCTATCTATCTATCTATCTATCTATCTATCTATCTATCTATCTATCTATCTATCTATCTATCTGTCTGTCTATCTCTATCTATCTAATCTTATCCTATGTTATCTATCTATGTTTATATATACACACAAATACTTATCTTAGGGTTAGCATTGAGATGTGGGGCAGGGGTAGCAAGAAGTGGGAGAGTAATGTAATTTAGTAAAAACAATAAATGGATAGGTGTTTGAATAAAAGATAAGCACTTGATTGTAAAGATTGAACGATTCCATTAAAATGACAGCTGTTACGGGTCAGTTGTAGGTTAGATTAGACTAGAATAGAATAATCTAGAATTAGGGGAGTGTGAGTTGAGTTTACCCTAGAATATTGTTAACCCCGGTGTGTTTGTGTATTGTTATCCCAAGGTCGAATGCGGTATAAAAGCTGGAGTGAATGATTGTCAGGAGTTAGTTGATAGCGGGTAGGACGAGGGCTACGCTCAAATGTACATATTGTAGACTGAATAAAAGTATTGAAGTACACACGAATCGTCTCTTGAGTTGAAACCAACCCGAACGTAACAACAGCTTAATGTGAGATGCTGTAAGGTTTGAAGAGAGGCGGGATCTATTATCCCACTTATCGTCATAGCCTATTCGTGGCACAACTTTTTTAAAAATCGTTGTAATTAGCACAAAACATGTAAAGTGCTCCTTGAAACAAATGTAGGCGCCATAGTGCTCACATGATAGCAAAAGGCGCTTAATCGCACCCTGCCGATGTGCCGGCGGACGCGCCAATCTTATGCATAGTCTATCGCACTGTTTAAAACAAACGTAGGCACTATAGCGCTCACGTGATAGCCCGAGGCGCTATATTTCAATAGATTCAATTTTGCAAGGACTATAACGCCCCATCTTATCCATTGACTATAGTACTGTTTAGGACGAACGTGTGCGCTATAGTGTTCACATGGGAGCCTGGGGCGTCAGTTAAAGTTTTAACTGTAGTACCCTTACCCGCTATGCAAGACGGCCGATTAATGGACACTAGGTGCCAAGATAGCCGCTCTTAAACTCTGGGCGCCAAACTGTGTATTGACAAAAATCGCACCCTCCCGTGTGCCGCCCATAAGAATTTTTTTTTGCAGAAACCTTCTCGGGAGTATCGATTCCCCCAAAGTTTCATGGCACTCGGATGAACGGTGTCGAACCGCAACCGACTTTTATTTTTAATGTACCGTATTTAGAGGAAAATCGCACCATCCCAAGGCGCCGCCGTTGCAAAATAATTTCTTTTTTTTTTTTGCAGAAACCTACCCTGGGGTGTTCTAATCAACTAACCAAAGTTTCATGGCGATCGGATAAACTGATCGGATACACCTGCGAATTTGAAGTTTTTCCCCCCCCCCCCCCCCCCCGAAACTTCCCCAAGAGCAAGGTTTTTTCAGGACTTTTTTTCTCCGTGTGTGTGTGGGGGGGGGGGGGCTCTTGATATTTTCGGGGGGGGGGGGGAGGAGTTTCCGGGGAGGGGGGCGGACACTGATAAAAGTATATATTTCAGGATTCGCGATCTCTTGTTCTCTGGCGACGGCATCGACAGACGGAGATTGTGAGGAATGGATGAGGAAAACACTACCCCCCCCCCCCAAGTTTCATGTCGACCGGGTGAAAAGTGTATTAATGCATAAAAGCCAAATAAACACGCATACTTTGATATATATATATATATATATATATATATACACACATCTACATGAGCTATATGTAGATCTAAAAATGAATACATATAAAATACTGTGCACAAGGGGGGCTGATAGAGACAATTTAACTCGATACATTTCAGCAATTTGGGTAGAATCTAATTGAGAGTAGACTATTACCGAAAGAAAGGCTTGCTTTTAAAAGGTTGCTTTTTTTAAAAATATTTTTTCCCTTTTATAATTTTTAGTTTTTATAAAATGCGTAAAAGTTGTTATGGCTAATTTAATAACTATTGAGACAGTTGTTTAAATTATAATTTGATGTGTAGGCTTATCATCATGAAAAAAAATATATGAAGAAGCCAATGAAGAGGTCATAATTAAGTTTCGAATATTGAGCACAAATGCATCTCAATGAAATATTGTAAAACTATGAATTACCTGAGGTATGGGTCCTAAGACCTTAGAATAAATAGTGTAGCTGAGCATGTTACACATTGGATATCCAATGCTAATCAGGATTGTTGCACCAAAGTACTGAGCTAAATGGATAACAGGAACATAACTACACCAGGCATAATTCCATGGACAGCCTTCTGGTGTGTATGTGGTATTGTGTACCATTTCTGTTGTGTTAATCATTGGGATAGGTGTAACAACCTTGCTTATGGTCGTTAGGTTACTTCCTGTCATATTTAGAATGTCATAACTTTTCATCAACGCCATTCCCTTTTCAATATTGTTCAAAAAGTCGTTTCCATGTGTAATTTCATGCAGTAAATAGTTGAAAACTGATGTTAGTCTTTCTTGCGAAATCAAATGTGTTGAATTGTGTGGTCCAAAAGCTGCATAAAATAAATACACAACACATTTTAGCCATTAAAAATATCAAATTAATTTTGATAATAAAAGTCAGTAAAATTTCATTTGAAAAAAAAAAAGAAACAGCAAAAGGTCAGTAACTAATATCATCATGCAAGAACCTTTTTTTTTTTAAAAATTAGTATTTCTTGTCTTGTTTTATAGTAGGTATGTTATGATACTAATAGATGAGAGCTCATACATTTATGACGCGGGTTAGAGGCGTCTGAAAACAACAACAATAAAAAAATAAAAAAAAACGTCTACATATTAGATATAAAAATCAATATATAATATACCAAATATATCAATCAATATAACAAACATAGAATGTCATTAATCCTACATGCACAATTCCAAATTTAAATGCGTGTGGTAATGTGAGAAAGAATAAGAGACGTCCAGTGGCTTAGACAGGATCGTCTCATGGGGAAGAGATTGTCAAAACTTTCATACATATAAATTGAATTTGTCTTCCAGCTCGACGTGGAATAAGTATATCTATGTCGAGCTCCTCACACAGGTCTTTGACTTCATTAAATACGGTAGTAAATTCTGATTCCGCTTCCTTCCGCATATTCACTAGTAAGCTACTTGAATGTTCAGAAAATTTTAAAGCCGCAGATAATCAACGTTTTCTGTTTGGAGTATTCTGTTGACCGGAATTGTTATTGCAATCATTGTTTAGATAACTCTAAGAGAAACTTGAAACTCAAGACTCCTAATTGCTCCTAAAAGTTGAACCGCTGTTGAAAAAGTTGTTGTATCGTGCCAGGATGACATAATTTCCAGTGCATCAACAGCTGCTTTTTGAAGTTGTATAAAAACGTAGACGGACTCGTGACCTTCAATACATCTAGTTGCGCACAATCGAGATGCTGATAATTTAGGTGTTAATTTCTCTATTGAATTTGCAAGCAAAGATTGTCGTTTTGGTGTGTTAAAAAAGTTGTACGCGCTATTAAAGATCCCCATACAGCTTCTCATAGCTGGTAGCTCGCAGGCATCAGAAAGTGCTAGATTTAGACTGTGAGATGCGCAATGCACGTAAATAGCCAAATCACATTTCTCAGCAACAATCTGTTGCGCCCCATGTAGTCGACCACTCAAGCCCACGCTTTCCTGCCAGATGCGCATGCGGTAATATTTTATAATAGACACCTGCCAATATTCATCCCACCCTCACCCCCATCCACACCCCTTAGCTGATCTAACGTTGTTCAGCTTTCCTTTCGCCTAATCCCACCTTGTGTGTTTGTTGTTTAAGCACTAAATGATAGCGACACAAGTCCACCGTCGTCAATAGCTGCAACTTAACGCAAAGGATTGTCATTTTGAAGGTCCTAAACCCTACCCCCCTCTGCCTACTCCACTGCCATCTTTATCATTTTCAGTATTACTTTTTTTTTAAATCATGTAATTAAGTTGTTTTCAGTTTCCATGTTTCATCCGCCATTAGTGAAATGAATTTCAAATGTTTTGGTTATGTTTAATTAACTTTTTAAAAATTAATCAATGTTTCCTTTATAAAGTATTCATTTTCCGTGGTATAATACACATATTGATTCGTTCATTTTGGTGCACAATTATTTTTTAAGTATTAAAAAAATAAAAACATGATTGCAATGGAAGTGAGAGGTCACTCCCGCTTTATTTAGGCCTTTGAGTGTAGCGAATGGATTGGGTTTATATTTATGTTTCAGGTTGAGGTGAGGGTTGGTTTATGTGTATGCTTATGTTTAGTGTTTATGGATGAGGTTTTCTTTTTCAGCTGAGAAGTGAGGGGAGGTGAGAGGGTTTATGTTAATGGTTGTGGTGAGGGTTGGTTTATGTTTTTATTTAAGTTCATGGTTGAGATTGCGACGAGGTTTAGGGTTGTTTGTTTTTTTGTTGTTGTTAAGTTTTGCACAAAAGCCAGGGCAGCGCCCGATAAACATGAAGTGTGGAAGCATAAAAAAAAAGTTAATCTAGAAAAGAGACTTGACTAAATGAGCGAGGCAAAACGCAGTTTTAGGTAAAGTTTTGTTCTAGTTCAAGAGTGAAAAAATGTACTTCATTATAATGTCAATATAATTACCTAAATACACCTTTAAATTTTAGTGATTTTATTTAATATCCTAGAAAAGCAAAATTCACTAAAAATGTTGGTCTTGGAACACACATTATGAATTTTAATGTAATTAATATCACATTTAAACAAATATTACCAGAGAAAGCATTTTTATTTTTGTATGGAAATTTGACTTACGTGCCATTCCTTGAGGCGGCAAAGTATTTCCCCATGGTATGTAAACAAAAAATCCACATAGGCAGACAATAAAACCAAACAGAAGCAAATACCTTTCATTGTACCTAAAAGTATACGATAGAAATTTGACTAATCAAAGTTTAATCAAAACAGACGTGAAATTTAAAAAAAATTAAATGGTTATAAACATAAGCTCTTATCTGCACTAAACTTAAGAACACATATAGTAACTTCAATATAATGCAATGAACAAAACAACTTTAAAAAAAGTTATTAAAAAGTCTAGTGACAATTTAAGCGCAATTTCCTTAATTAATTTTTTGTGACCGAACGAAAGGATATTTTTGAAAACTTTCTTCGGCAATATTGTTCTAAATTATGGCTGGAATCGATTGGTAAATGTTTCAAGTCGCTAAGTGGTCTGGTTGCGGAGAAATGGGCCAAAAACTGCATTTTTTTCGAGGGTTTTTGGCTTTTCCGGGAAATCCAGGAAGGAATTCCAGGAATTTTTTTAGCCCACAATCATCCCCGGAACTTGCTTAACATATTTGCTTTTGGAACTAGTCCTCGATATTGCTTCGTTGAGGAGGAGATACGACTTAAAGCTGTGGACACACATCCATCCATCCATCTATAAATAACGAATTAATAATCGCAATCGTCAGTATGGAAATTGCGCTAAAAAACATTGAACACTCAGAGACCTAAAAAAATAATTTAATTTAAAAAACAAACACCAAACACCACATAACGGTAAAAAGTGTTATTTAAATGCAAGAAGTAGAAAAAGATACATAAAATTGTAATGGTAAAGACTAAACAGATTTTTCACTGCGACCAATGCATCAGTAGTCTAGCTAAGATGGTGTAGATGGTGCAAGACACACTAGGCATAATGACAAAGTTTTGTATTTATAATGCAAAACTGCGGCTAAAATGAGATTTTAATTGTTTTTCCAATTGGGTTAAACCCATTTTAGCACCCCCTAAGGTCGGCGCCCGGGGACATATGTCCCCCCCCCCCCCCCCGCTGCGCCACAGCTCGCCAGACTGGTGGTTGTGGTAGCGGTATGCCAAGAGAGCGAGCGAGGGAGGGGGCGAGTCGGCATGCTTATGTGGTGTCCCGCGTGGTCCCTCCATGAAGAGAATATATATATATATATATATATATATATATATATATATATATATATATATATATATATATATATATATATATATATATATATATATATATATATATATATATTAGAGCAGTGGTTCCCAATCTTTTTCGAGTGGCGACCCCCTTTTATAAAAAGTAAGTGACCCGCGACCCCCATAGAAAAAAAAAAGACGATATTAGTATGGAAATTAACAAGCACTAAAATAAGATTTTCTATGAGACTTTCAGTATGAACTACTCTTGATAACTGTTTTAATACGATGAGTAAAATTGCATACTATTTATAAACATTCGCTGTTAAAAAGTAAGTTTTTGTTAACGCCAACCTAATATGTCATCAACATTCAATTTATTTCTTAATTTTGTTTTTAATCGGAGAATAGTGTTGAAAATCTATTTTAGAAAAGTCAATCAAGGAATCATTCAGCAAATCAAAGAATTCATCTCGTAATTCATCGGGAATGCTGGCAAAATAAAGGGAAGTAGAGAATGGGTAATGCGTCAATGCATCTTTCAGCTCAGAGAAATAGCGCCGCAGTTCGTTTTCAAAAGATTCAATCTAGATGCCCAGAAATCGCTTCTTTCAAAATTTTAATTATCTCACAGTCAGATTCATCTACCACACTGCAGAGTTTGTCAAGTTTTCAATATTTCCAAGTTTTATTTTCTTCGCCAATTTTGCAGCTTTGATAAAAATGCCCCGAGATTATCATGGAAAGTTATAATATTCGTTCATTTTCCCTGAAGCTTCAGGTTAAGCTTATGTTGATGTTCGAACATATCTGCTAGGTACGATACTCTCTCCAACTACTCTGTCATTTTGTTCGAACATATCTGCTAGGTACGATACTCTCTCCAACTACTCTATCATTTTGTTCGAACATATCTGCTAGGTACGATACTCTCTCCAACTACTCCGTCATTTTGTTCGAACATATCTGCTAGTTACGATACTCTCTCCAACTACTCTGTCATTTTGTTCGAACATATCTGCTAGGTACGATACTCTCTCCAACTACTCTATCATTTTGTTCGAACATATCTGCTAGGTACGATACTCTCTCCAACTACTCTATTTCATTTTAAGTATACCAAAAGGTCTTGTTTCCTGTGCACTTCCATGAACAATTTGATTTCAGATTTCAACTAGACTACCCGTTATCTAGTTAGATAACTGTGGGTTTCGGGGGTCATCCATAAATGACATCACGTCTGCCAGCACTTATCATCCCAAAATAACCAGACCCCACATTCAAAAAGACGTTTTTTATATTTTAAAAACTCTACTAAACTCTACTTCACCTGCCCAGTGCCCCGCCAAGTCTCAGAAATGTTTGTATTGTTAAAAAAAAATGATTCCGGCCGAGCATGGCTCTGACCACACTATCACTTCATATGCTGAGAACATAGAAACAGGTGAACTCTATTTCACCTGCCCTGTGCCCCGCGAGGTCCTGATAGTCAACCTTATCATTCACATGTAGGCCTTAAGAAAAAAATAATTGAAAACATTGTTGTTAAAAGAAAGTAAGTCTCTTTACTATTACTTAAGTTATTGTTCTAAACTTTTATAATTAATGTGGTTAATCTACCTATGAATATATCCATAAATTAATTAACGGCTTTAAATTAGTTTGTAATTAACAGTGTGTTTAAGAAAGAACAATATTTACCACCCAAAATCCTATTTTACAGCTCTACAGATAATGCAGATTCTCCCCAATAACAAATCAAAAAAACAAACAAAAAAATGAGTTATCAAACGTCACTATTCAGTCAAAGTTAAGCCATTGTTCTAAAACTTTAATTTTAAAGTGGTTAATCTACCCAAGAATAAATCAATAAATTAATTAACGTCTTTAAATAAATGTGTGATTAACAGTCTGTCTGCAATCAAAAATTGTTCGCTACCTACATACTATTTTATAGCCCCCCATATAGAGCAGTTTCCTTACAGTACCAAATCAGACAAACAAATAAATATTAAAACATGTAAACAAAGTTGAGTTTTAGTAGTATATAGATAGATTCAAAAACACGATTCACAACATTTCGTCTGACAGCCAGCGTACTGTAGTGTAAAAAAGCAGAACCTCGTGATCTATATTAATGTCGTTGCTCAGTTTTTTAAGGCTCCGGATTTAATATAATTTACGACTTTTACTAGCAATTGAGTCGGAAGCGTCTTGATGTCGAGGGCATACTGATGAATCATGCAGTGTTTAGGGAGCTAAATCTTTTCTGTTTTCTGAAAGCCCGATTATGACCTAAACATAGATGCCGCACCATCCCTTCACAAACCCCCACAGCAGTTTTAACCCATTTTAATCATCCAGTTTCAAAAAACGTATTTATTTTCTCCATGCTATCTTCACAACTCTTCTTTACTATCATCTGAGTGAATACAGACAAAGACAACAAGACAGATTGTGCTTCTTTAGATTAGATGGATATGTCAGTGAAAAATGAGGTGTCCATGGCCTAGAGCCAGAATTCCTAAGTCCTGGACTTCTTCTTCGTTCTTAATTGTTAGTGTTGGAAGTGATCGAGCCTTATCTGCCAAAGGGTTTGAACTGGAGACTTTTTTTTCGAATTTATCAACCATGAGCTTTTGCCGACTCGGCTACGCCTCCATCACAATTAAGGATACGTGTCAACTGGTTATGCGCCATTGAGGCCATTGACTCCGATTTCAGCCTGCTTTTCTTTTTGGATTTGCTTCCATAGCCTTTGTTAAACCAAGAACACACTACAAGGCAGCAGGTGTTTGATTTTGGAGTTGTCTCTCCTAGAAGAGTGGCTGTCCCCAGCTAACGAGCCTCATCCGACTCGACCACGCTGACCCCTTAAGTCCTGGACGAATACCTACAGACAGGTGGTTACACACCTGTGTAGCATTTACGCGCTGCGAGAAGGGGTAGCACAAGACCTAACAAAGAACGTCACACGTCTGCACATTTGACGTAGTCGGCAGGATGTAATCGAGACATACACAAACAAAAAATAATCATATCACTTGGTCAAACATATAGGGTTATGGTTAACCGTAAGTAAGTTAATGCAAGAGAGAATTATTTCTAATAGAAATGTAACAATGGGTGATCAGAAAGATGCGCACATAGACAATAATAAAGAATGACTACGTGTACATTGTAGCAAAATAACATTTTTCTGGGCACCGTAACTATTTTAGTACTGATACTTTCAATGTATCAACACTTCATAATTACCTTTTAGTCAATGTTTTAGCCACCAGAAAAACTATTATAGATAGAAAGCCTGCCACACCTAATGTTATTCCTTGATACAAAGTTGCTTTTGATTTACTCCAGGCATACATATGCATAGTTAAAGGTGTCCCGATTCTGTATAGGAAATAAAAAAGAATTTATCTTTACAAATTTCGAGAAGAACACAAAATTTAAAGCATGATTTGAAAAAAATCAATTAATTTATTATATGATCAAATTTTGTAAATGTGGAGACATGTCCACACAATCAAGCTAAAGTGTTAGATATAACATGATTATACTTTTATAAAATAATAATACATTAACTTACGTTTCAAACACAGTGAATATAAATAGTACAACAAAGAACAGAAAAATTGTTGACACTACTGCTATATAATCAGGTTTATAGTTGATCTTTGGATTGCATACAATTGATCCTAAAAAGAGAAAATAAACAACGATTAATCCTAGACTATTTTGCTCCGCTTCAAATTCCCTTAAAAGCAGCATTTGTTGGCGGATTTAAATTAAAGCTCGTTTGTAGTATGTTAAATATAATGCCAGAATTTTTAATAACAACTATCTTATTTAACGGTTAAAGCTGGAACAACACATAACCATTTGATAAAAAATCATACACAATTACAAGCTCCCCACCATCTGTATTGGATTCTAGAAAAGTATAGTCTTGTAACCGTGAAAAAAAAACGAGATTTTTGCAAATCTCGACGATTTACAACTCGGAAAAACATAGTTTTGCAATCTTGCCCGTATGTCGTATGTCTCTCACTCTCTCTCTCTCTCTCTCTCTCTCTCTCTCTCTCTCTCTCTGTATGTATGTGTCTGTAAACACGATAACTTGAGTACCATTACAGCTATGTTGATGAAATTTCATATATAAGTATTATATCAAATTTGTAAATCCGCATCAACTTTTCAGCGACTTCCGATAAGCGGAAGTGGGACATATTTTACTTTTAGTTTTTCAAAAGCCTATAACTTGAGTACTGTTTCAGATAGATAAACGAAATGTCACATGTAAGTAAAAGGTCTAATTTTCTGCCTTCTGTCAAATTTTGAGTAATTTCCGTTGACCGGAAGCAGTAATTTACGCTATTTCCGATTTCTCAAAAAAAAAAAAAAAACCAAAATGAATTTATAAAGTACTAATCATATTCCGTACTATTATACACATATTGTTTGCCGTTCACTTTGTGCGCAATTCTTTTTTCTAGGAGATTCTATTCTATTTTTAATGTTTAAGTAATTAAAAAATGATAAAAATCATGTCTATATCCAGAGTTGCCATCCCCCGTAATGTTATCTATAATATAACGCTGCTGGTAGTGTGTCAGTCCTTCCTTCCGTCATCGCTTTAGATTTTGGAACCATAAAAGTAAACATCGCACCATGCAATGCTTTTCGGTGCATCGCATTGTCTTATTATAAGTGATAGAGTAGGGTTTCTTTATATAGAGACTTAAATTTATTTTATGGCTGCCACTGTTTTTACTCTTTCACATAACGTAAAGGAAATCTTATATACACGCAAATTGCTAAAACATATTAAACGGATCAATGTCAAATATCATTTCGTTTAGATTCCTAGAAGAAATGGATATATTTTAATAATAATAGGGTCGAAAAAACGAATTAGTTAAACTGTTTGGTCATTTTCCAAGGGAGGCAATTTAAAAATAAATTCAACTCACGCTAATAAAACAAATGTGAATGCAAAATCTCAAAGAGGGAATTATTGTTGGAATAATATAATTAGCAAAATGTGAATGCAAATTATGCAGACGTGTAAGAGGACATTATTGATGGAATATTATAATTAACATGGATTGATAAAAGGCTATCTTTTATTTATTTTATTCACTGAACGTACTGTTTACTAATTATAATTTTTAATCAACTATTCCACACTATTATACAAACGTCATCACGTTTATTAGGTGCGCAATTGTTTTAGTCGTGAAACTCTATTGTAAATTTTTCAAATTTAAAGTACTGAAAATAAAATGCATGAATTGATAAAGTGCAATATGGTAGGTAAAACTCGGATATTTTAAATACTGCTTTTTATTTATTTAATACACTGAACGTACTGTTTACTAATTATTATTCTATCTTTCAGTTTGCGGACAAGCTGGGGTTTTTATAGTCGTTCACTGAATCAGGCGCGTCAGCCGATGCTCGGACAGGCGATTTGGCGCCATGGGCTAGACTGTGAGCACTATGCGTTTATTTTTGCATTTAAGTTGTGTTTATGTTATGAGTGTTTGTGTTTTCATTTGTGTTTTTATTTGCGTTTGTTTTTTCTTTTGTGTTTGTGTGTTGCGTTTGTGTTTTCGTTTGTAATATATGCATACCCGGAGCACGGGTATGCATATATTATATAAGAATATTGGAGAAAGTTTAGAGGAGATTACTCCCCGTTTATTTTGTTAATTTTAGGCTGTGATATTTACTCCACTCCTACCACAACTGCATATCATCACAAAATTTTGAACCATTTTACTTTCTAGTAAGCATAGAGAAAGTATTGTAATCGTGCACATAAACTAAAAGAGATTTTGAAAGTGTTCGCTGTTTTACACCTCCCCACTTTATCGAATACAAGTAGATCTATACAAAATGAATTATAAATTGTGCAAAAATTCAAATCAAGATTTCGACAAGTATTTTATGCTATACAACCTACTAGAATCGAAAAAGCCTACTCTTTTCAATAACGTCCGTCTTTGTGTTCAAAACGATAACTTCAGTGTCGTTTTAGTTAGGTTGATTAAATTTCATACATAAGTATTCTGTCAAATTTGTTGTTTTCAGTTAACTTTTGTGCACTTTCCGGTAACAGGAAGTGGTATTTAATCCACTTCCGTTTTCTTAAACGCTAATAACTTGAGTACCTTATAATATTTCATCACTGATTTTTCATAAAACCATATATCACTATATACATTATAAGCTATAGGTACACACAAATAACACATTATTGCATCAGTATATTGGTAGTAAGTTTTGACGGGATATTTAAATATGGTGGGAGGAGATGTGGTCAACGGTATAAATGGGTGCATGTTGTATGTACGCAGTGACCTATCCCGTTCGTCAGTGTTCTATCCTCGTACTGTGAGCTGTTTTTGCGTGTCATCGTCCGGTTTGCACTTTAGTTTGTACGGGTATAAAAGGGTGTGACAGCGTGATCTAGTACTTACATGCTACTAGATAAGAGAGTCGCTCTGAGTAGTATCCTTTATTCTAGATTGGTGTTTTCTTTTGTGTTACTTATTCAGAATAGACTGTGTTTCACAGTGTGTAAATAGCTTATTAAACTTGAGTTTTAAACTCATTAAACAATGAGTCTTTCTTGTACTTAATCTTGTTTCATAGCCCGTTTGTGCTTTTGTCCTTCTATGTTGCGTCACGTCCGAAGTGGACGCTTGTAGACGAGGGTGGGGGATGTGTGTCAAAGTCATAAGTGAATAACGCCTAAGAATGTTTAATTTAACGCTTACCATCACTATGAAGATCATTAATCTCTTCACTAGGTTCACCCTGAACATGCGCTTTAAAGTGAGTGTCATACACGCGATGTTCTCTAAAGACGGTGACTAGCAGGATCAGGTTGATGACTGCCACCAGAGCAGCAAACAGGGCAGGGGCGGTGTACATGTTCAAATGAAAGCCAACCACCTCTATGGGACCAGGGTAGCCAACAGGTACCAAGGCTGCTTGAATAACTGGACGAGGAAAATGCATTCAAATTTTAATAGTTCATCCTAACCAACTAATTAACATCAAATAATTGTTAAGTTATATGAAAATATAATTGAAAAGTACATTTTAAGCCTCTAACTCTGTGTAATTTTTATAGTTGTTGATATTATACAGTGTATCTCCTTTATCGATTAAAAACTATCACATAGATGATTTTTCAACGCAGACGCGCAACGGATTTTGACCCACATACTATTCAACTCACGGGCTTTTTGGGCCGTTCAAAGTATTTCTTTACAAATACAAATGTAAAATAAGCAGAATTGAATAAAATGCCTTTAGTGAGATACAAAGCAATCAAAAATGCATAAAATTCTACACGTTTTAAATGTAAAAAAAAGGTGGTTTTAAAACCATGTAACATTTTTATGAGCATTTCCAGAATGGTCATCCCTTATTTTCTGTTGGGACATAAACATTAGATATAATTTCAGAGCGTTGTCCAAGAAAGGTCGAGCTCTACAAAACACTACAACGATCATTAACATGTATGCATTGTCACAGAAACTTGCCGTTTTCTTCGTTGACAACACACCACCGAACTTTTCAAAATTGATGTTAGCAAGTTTTAGGGGCTTAATAGTTCAGTAAAAAAAAAATAAAAACATGCAGATACATAATAAACAAGTTTGTCAGTCAAGTTTATTTCTTCATTATATATTTATTGCTGCAACTGTAACTCCATTCAGTGATTACACTTCGATGTTATTTTACATCTTTGTCCGATGAGCTAAGCCCCCATTCACTTTGTAGCGGAGTCTATTTTTTTTTTCTGATTGCTCTGCTCAATTTTTTTTTCTTTTCTGACAGAGGAAAAACTTCTTTTTATAATCTTTTTAAATTTTAGAACAGTTGAATATTTTTATCTAATTAAGTAAAAGGTTACGTGATTGTAATTTTTGTCGCCAGTGCATAGTTTAAACAAATTAAAGTAAAAATAAAAACAACTTGCCAAGTTCATGGCTGATTTGGTTTTAGCGATGATGTTTTTAAAGAAAATAGTACGTGACTTGTAGCTTGAAATAATTTGTATTACCCATAAAATCAATGATTTTACGTGTTAGTATGTTCTTTAAATCTATATCTATTGTGAATAATTTAAACTTCAAGTCAAAAACACGTTAGGAATAGGGAGAGGTGTGGGGGTGGGAGAGAGAAGCGCGATGGGTATTATTGTTGTAACAATGTGCATAGGCCCTATATATATAGCTTATACCCGTGCTTCGCCACGGTGTGGATATGGATATTCCCTCGGAGTTTACCGCACTGCGCGCAGATGGGGGTCCCCGCATTGGGGCCTATATTCATTCAGCACTTTGGTGCGAATATGGATATTAAAAAAAAATTAAATTACGGTTTAAAAAAAAAAAATTGAGAACTGACGCTCTCACGAGCGCCCGCCCAGACATCTCTCCTCCCCGAACCCAAGGCGTAATTTAAACCGCCTCCAAACAACACGTTTTCCCGGCCGTCCGCGCCAAGGGAGAGACTTCCGAAATCCATAGCGATGACGAAATGACTGACACACTACCTGGCGGCTTATATTATATAGATCTATATATATATATATATTATAGATGGTCCGTGCTCTAGTGGAGATGTTTGTGCACTTTGCAGCTAGTTGGAAAATAAACTTTTTAAAGACTTTTTTAAAAAAATCATTTAAAAAAACCTTTTTAATAACAAGCTTTTATGTAATAATGCACTCAAAAAGTAGAAAATAAGTTATACACTACTATTTAAATTACTATAAAGAAAAGCGTGGGTCACTTTAGTATCTATTGCATAGAAATCTTCACTAATATTAAGGAAGAGACCAACTTTACCAAATATTAGTAAAGGTATCCAATATATACTAAAGTGACCAATGCTTTTCTTTATAGTTAAATCTGAAATTTTTGTGGATGTCATACATGAATAACCCCTAATAGATAATCTATTACAAAAAGGTGAAACATGTACAATATTGTACAATGGAAATGAAAATTGAAAAATATGAGCGAAATTTCAAATCTTTTTATTTTCTCGTATACAGAGAAAAGAGGAACTATTGTAATCATGCTAATAATTATAATTAAAATATTTTGACAGTTTTCTCAGTTATACACCTCCCTACTTTAGCATATACGGAACAAAAAGGATGCATTGTACTTGTGGGAAAAAAAATCTAATCAGAGATTTTGACAAACTTAGACGTTTTACATCGTTCGGAACGGAAAAAACATGGTTTTGCAATTTTGTATGTAAACACGATTATTTGAATACCGTTTCAGTTATGTTGTCGAAATTTTATATCTAAGTATTATATCAATGTTTTTGGCCTGTATCAACGTTTCAGCAATTTCTAATAACCGGAAGTTGTAAATACACTACTCCGGTTTCTTAAATGCCAATAACTAGAACGCCATTTAACACTGCGTTCACACTTACGACAAGTATACTAGACATGACCTACTAAAGTGTATACTAAACATGTTACATGTATATGGAACATCTTCTGAGTTGCAGGGCACAAAACCACGCCCCATTTTATGTTCTGGGTCAAGTTTTTGTTTTCGCTCGCTGAAATTTCAGTTGAGTGCGCATGCGTCAAAAAGTAATAAGCGCATCCTAGGTCTTTGCCTTAAAACCAGTTTAGGTATTAATTACGAAAATAAGGGGTCATCCATAAATGACGTCACACTCGTAGGGGGGAGGGGGGTCCGTAATTTTGTGACGATGTGTGATGAGGGGGAGGGGGGGGGTCAGATGTTGCGACGTCACATTTTTGCATCATAAAAAAGCAATGTTAGAAAACGAATTTTAGACGTTATTTCGCGTTTTAGATAACTGTTTTAATAAATTGTAACAGTTTAGACAAGATTTTGGAAAACTATCAATGTTTTTAAAAAATTCAACTGCAATTTTGAGGGGGGTTGTAGGTTGAGGTGTGACGTCATTTTAGGGGGGGGTCTGGCTTTTTGTGACGAAGTGTGACGGAGGGGAGGGGGGAGGTAAAAATCGTCCAAAAAAGCGTGACGTCATTTATGGATGACCCCTAATAATTAATTTAAAAATATAATTTAACCAAATGTATCTCCAATTTTTCCTTGACCAATATTTTGTTTTAAGTGTATCAACATATTTTCAGTTTCGTTCTGACATGAATAAATCTATAGGCCCACCAGAATGAGCTCGTGGGATCACACACGTGGGATCTGCCAGTTTTTATAGTAAGTTGATTAACTTAATATAAAAACTGGCAGATAAAGTCATAGGCTAATTATTTAGGTTTAAAATGGGATATAATTAACATAAAGAAACGAGGGGAGTAGGGCGGGTGGGTAATGAGTGTCGTAGACCCTACTCTAAATACTGATCCTCTTTTTTTTCTTAATAATAGACTCAGTATAGTTATAACGCGATCTCAATACGTTTAATGAAATTGGCAAATGCAAGTTTTCGAAGAAATCGGGCCTTTCAGCAAACAAATATTTAGCCCTGTTCATTCGAAGCTGTTTCTGTAGGAATGATATAGACAAGCAAAGAAGCTGGGGAAATGAATACCATGGGGTTGGGGTGGGAAGGGGTGATTGTGCTGCGGGATGGGAGGGAGGGGTAATAACATGTGGGTAATGTCTACTACCCGCGCTATTATACACAGCATTATATTTATTAAAAACTGTCTAGTTCCAGCAGCTGGCACTCCAATAAAATTTATAAAATCTTGCATGTTCTCTAATTTTTAGATGATTTATTGTTGAATCGCAAGCCCCGTGGCTACACCATTTTCATTTTTTTTTTTAAATAAAGCTGCGTGGCCACTATCTACGTTTGTTTTTTTACTTTGATTACTCTTTATTTTAATTATCTGGGCCTTTATAGCAGACGCTCCGGGTCAAAGGTCATGCTTGTTTTATAAAATGTTCTATAACATGTTCTGTAATTGTGAACGCTAAAGTATACATGTTCTGTGGAGAAAATTGTCCCAGATAAAAATAAGTTTTGTGTTCCAGAAATGTATAGTATACATGTCGTAAGTGTAAACGCGGTGTAAGGGTAGTAGGCTCCAGAAAAAACTTCTTAATTAATACAATTTATTTATTAACTTGTGTATATTATCTAACTTAGGAAAATATTTGGTATGGTGAAACATCTTTGAAATCAATGCTAAATTTAACAATATTTCATCAGTTTTAAAAAATTGAAAATTTGAAAAAAAAAATTTCGAATGCAAGCTGACTTTATTAGTGTTAGTAAAAAAAAGGATCAATAATTATATAGCCGATAAATATGTTAGTTTATAAAATTTTATAACTCTACAAAAGGTTATTTTTTCAAGATGGCCACCATTGCCATGGCAACCATAATTTCAGAAGAGTGCCCAAGCTTTCACCATCGTTTGCTTTCCAAGTTGATAAATCAACAGACGTGAGTTCGTGTTCGCAGTTGCTTGTCTTTGTGAAATATATTTATTCAGATGATATTGATAAAGAGTTGCAATTTTGTGAAGATATCATGGACAAAAATTAATATTTTAAAAAAAAAACTGGATGCTTAAAATGAGAAAATGGCTGTGGGGTTTGTACGGATGGTGCACCATCTATATTTGGGTCGAAATCAGGCTTTCAGAAAAAAAAACACCCATCTGTGCATCGACATTAACATGTTGAGTGCATAGACATGAATATAGATAATGTGGCTGTCAAAAGGAAATGTTGTGAATCGTGTTTTTGAATTGAAAGATGAAATCAAGTTGTTCTTAGATGTGCAAGGGAAACAAGACCTTTTGATATACTTCAACAACAAAGAGTGGTTCGAGAGTGTAGCATATCTACAGATATATTCGAACATCAACATAAGCTTAACCTGACGCTTCATGGAAAATGAACAAATATTATCTCTTTTCATGAAAATCTCAGGGCATTTTTAACAAAGCTGCAAAATTGGCGAAAAAAATAAATATTGGAAATATTGCCATGTTTGAGAAGCTCTACAGTGGTAGATGAAGCTGAATGTAAGAAAAATAAAAAAATAGAAGAGAATTCTGGCCATCTTGAATCTCTCGAAAATGAACTGTGGCATTCTTTAGAAGAATCTTCATTGATACGTTACGTATTTTCTGCTTCTCTTGATGTTGCCAGCATTCCCGATGAATTGCCAGACACATTCTTAAATATGCGGAAAGATTCCGCGTTACCTAATGTGTAACAAAAAACTGCTCACACAATGTTGGTGTAGTATGCACCATTCATACTCAAATGTGAAATTGATAGCCTTTCAAGTCTTAGCTCCTTTTTCGTCTACATATCTTTGCGAGAATATATAATGTTGATAATGAAATGAGGTTTGCGTTAACAAAAACTCAACCACGAATGTTGAGGCTTGTTAATAGCAAGTAATTTTACTCATCATATTAAAACATCAAGAATAATTCATATTGTCTACTAGAAATTCTTATTTTAGTTCTTATCAATTTCCTTACTTAATTCGACTTTTTAATTCTATGGGATCATGGGTCACTTACTTTTTATTCAAAGAGGGCCCATTTGAAAGTTTGGGAACCACTGCTCTAAACACTTTTGACTTGTTTTTTTTTTCCTTTCAGTTCCCTAAGGAGCATAAGCCCAGGCAACACTTCATCAACTATTACAGTTTGGTAACTGCTTGTACACACTACAATTTTACCTGGTCCAAGTATGAATCCCATAGCTTGAAATATACTTAGATTGGCCATACTGCCAGTTCTTTCATTCTCAGATGTGGCTCCTGAGACATATGATCTGACCACTGCAACATTGCCTGAAACATTTTTTTTAAAAATGTGTTACTTTTCTTTTGCATTTCTAAAAATGTAGGCATGTAAGTATAACAGTATTCTAAACAGTAATCTTATTTTCTTTACACTTTAAAGGCCTGCATTAAACAAATTGGGATAATCTATAAGTGATGTCTCACACCTATTAGTTACCATTTCAAGTGGATGTAGTTACAATTGTTAGCTCCCCCATACCCCCCACCCTCCTTTTCTTCAACCATTGACATTTTGTTTGTTAGAAAGTAAATGTATCATTATTAAAGTAAAAAGTTGTGATTCAGGTTTGGTTATATAAGGAACCTTTTATGGGTTGTCCAAAAAAAGCATTTTTATTAGATGCATAAAGCTAGTAAGAACTGAGTTTTCAAAAAACAAATATTTACTCAAATAATTCCTTTTCTTTTAATCTGGAAGAAAAAAAAAATAACTAAGCAATAATATTAAGAATAATTAGGAACTCACCTGCACTAAAACCAATGAGACCTCTGGCTAGAATCATGAAATAATCTTTATGAGAAGGCATAGACTGAAGGTACATATAAAAGAAATTTGATAAGGCTGTCATGAATAGACTGATGCTTAATGGCTCTCTACTAGAGCTTCTCAAATTTGCCCATCCACCAAAGACAGGGGAGGCAACAAATTGTCCAACACTGTAAGCAGCTACCACCCAACCGAGGAAGCTTTCTGTCACTGAAGGATTTAGCTGGAAAAATTATTGGATGTGTTAGTTTTCTTTTTTTTTACTTTATCAAGGAAACAATGTCTAAAATTTAATTTTAACTTTTTGATTAATTATAACCTGTGAAGGATTAAATGGGAAACTGACCAGGCAGCAACAAAGTGTTCCTGAATTTGAATTCTAAGACCATGTGGCCAACTCAAGTCATTCACATGAAATGATGTTGAGCACATTTTTCAATCATTTTTATCTTATTTTAATTATCAGTAAAATTGTATATTTTTAATAATATATATATATATATATATTAAAATCTAGGTTGCATGTGAAAATGTTGAAAATTCTTACAACTTGAAGGAATGGCCATAATGAAGACATGGTTATAGTGAAAGTAACAGAACCCAGGAACATGGTCAGATACATGACTCTGATTGATCGCCATCTGCTCCTATAGACATTAGGGGGTTCTATAGCAGTGCTTGGCACATTTACAGGGCTGTAAAGTAATATATGAACATAATTACAAATGAATCTAGGTTTACATTTTGGTATTAAATTATAATGTATAATATTTGAACAAATTTATTGACAAATTTCACTCTTGGAAAATCCTCTGTGACATTCAACATTTAATTTCAAGAACTAGAACAGTTGAAATAAATTGCTGTAGTAAAATATGTAGATTACTATAAAAAAATTAGTTGATACCTCTTAATAGTTGAACTGGTTCGAACTCTTGAGCCTAAGAGAGGTGTTGTGTCTTCAGCTTCTGCCACATTGTTAGTTTGGGTTGACATCTTTATCTAATGGTAACTGATTTCAGACACATAAAAACTAATAATAAAAGCAAATGTAGTTATAACTATAATGATATATCTATAATGCAATAACAATATAGACAAATTTATACTGAAAGCTAAAACTTATATGGGAAAATGGTCGAATTGTAGAGCACAAAACTTCTAATCGGTCCAAAAAGTCTTAGCTTTGGATACCGAACTTGGGCAGGTAGACTGTCTTTGCACAGTGGCATAACCAGGGATTTGTAATGGAGAGGGTATTTATAAAAATGTGTTTCTTACCTATAGGGCCTAAATAAATAAATAAATAAATATAGGCCTATATATTATATATATATATATATATATATATATATATATATATAATTATATATAGGCCTATATATATATATATATATATATATATATATATATATATATATATATATATATATATATATATATATATATATATACATATATATACATTTTACGTACCCAAAACGATAGATTACCCAGTACACACTCTATACTATAGTTTAACTAATCTAATATATAAAGCTCAATTCTGTAACGCATATGTTTGTCGTTGACAATTCTATGGATTTAAGTGTTAGACAAATTATCGTGCGCGTTTGTCTAAATTTATGAGTTAAAAAATTACTATTAAAAGTGTTGGGAAATCATTTTCATTTTTCAAATTATAATAATAATTGTCGGCATGTTCATTAAACACAAGTTTTAAAAAAATATCATCTTTTACAAAAATTCTAATTATGTTTTTATTTAGTCCTATAGCGCTTACTTCCCTTTGATAAATTAGGCAAAACACAATTACTTCCCTTTATGAAACCATTGCATTTTGTGGAAAATAATTTACTTTTTAATTACTTTGTTTTGGTGTTGGGAAAAAAATAATTACATAATTAGCGGGGATTGATCAAGTGCAAATGTTTTAGGTATTTTACGGATAAGATGGAGTATTATAATTGTTCATTAAATTGAAACAGGCGCGTTCGTTTAAGTGAGTGCAAAAACTATGAATAAGTTGGGGTACTATAGTCGTTTATTAAGCTAAAACAGGCGATTCTGCCCCGGGCGTTTATGTTCGCGTTAGTGTTTTCTTTGTGTTTAGGTGGGTTTGTGTTCGTGGTTGCGTTTTGATTTGGTTCGTTTTTGTTCTTTCTTTTTTCGTTTTTGTTTGTGTTTTTTTTGTTTGGGTTTGTATTTGTGTTTTTGGTTGGTTTTGCGTTTGGATTTGGTTTGTTTTCGTTCTTTCTTTTTTCGTTTTTGTTTGTGTTTTTTTGTTTGGGTTTGTAGTTGGTTTTGCGTTTGGATTTGGTTTGTTTTCGTTTGCTTTTTCGTTTTTTTTTTTGTTGGTATTGGTGTTTGTGGTTGGGTTTGTTGTTAGGTTTTTGTTTTCGTTTGCTTTTTTGTTTGTTTTTTCTTTGTGTTTGTATTGGTGTTTGTGGTTGTGGTTGTGGTTGGGTTTGTTGTTAGGTTTTTGTTTTCGTTTGTATTTGTAATTGTGTTAGCGTTATGTTTGCGTTTTGTTGTTTTGGTTGGTTGTGGTTTGGGTGGGCAATGCCGGGTTTATGATGATTACTAAACACACAGGTAATGGTCTTTAACAGAAAGGTTTTTCACAGAAGCCAGAGCAGGGCCTGGCCGGGACGGCTAGTAGTTAATAAAAAAATAGTTAATATAACTAATACTATAGTAGACTTAGTACTTAGTAATAGTTACAGTAGTAGTAGTAATAGTAACTACTAGTATTTACTACAACTACAACTCAGTGTGAATGTGATTCCTACCTTTTCTTTAGAGTTTTATAATCAATTAAAACGATGCTTCTTGTATGATCAAATTTTCAAATCGTGCGTTAAGTCATTCTCTGAAAAATTTAGATCTAGGTCTAGGATTGTTTAGGTCTATTTTAAATTACTTTTTTATGCACATCACGACATCCATTTTGTAACTAAATCTATGTCACATGACTTCAAAACAAGTCACGTTATCTCGGGATCAAAACGGTCCGTTCTAAAAACTAATCTAAAACGGCCCGTGATAATATTAACACGGCTTCGAAAAAACGACTGGACAAAATCGACCTTGTCAAAAGGGCAACTATAAATTTCAGCCATTCATTTAGGCTCCCGACAGTTTGGCTTTCGACAATATTTAATTATAAGATCTAGATCTAGGCCTATATGAATTTCGGCTTTACTAACAAGTAACATCACTGGAAATGGAATAGAGAAGAACTAGTGCGTACTGCCGTACTGTGCAAAGTTCTTTACGATCATGAGTCTATGAAACCTTCAAAGCTAAAACGTCATTTTGAGATGAGTCATTAAGAACATACCAAATAAGATATGTAGTATTTATGTAGTTCTCAGTAGCGGGGGGGGGGGGGGACATATGTCCCCGGGTGCCGACCTTAGGGGGCGCCAAAATGGGTTGGAAAAATAAATTGAAAGGTTGAGGGAGGTGCAAATCGAAAGTTTGAGGGAGGGGGGTGCAAATGGAAAGTTTGAGAGTTTGAGGGGGGTGCAAATCGAAATCTTGAGGGGGGGTGCCGACCTTAGGGGGCGCCAAAATGGGTTGGAAAAATAAATTGAAAGGTTGAGGGAGGTGCAAATCGAAAGTTTGAGGGAGGGGGGTGCAAATGGAAAGTTTGAGAGTTTGAGGGGGGTGCAAATCGAAATCTTGAGGGGGGGGGGAGGTGCAAAGCGAAATCTTGGGGGTGCAAATCGAAAAGTTTGTCCCCGGGCGCCGGGAAGGGTCGCTACGCCTCTGGTAGTTCTTTCTTCGGCACGAAGCTCGCTGCAAGCGTCAGACTTGATGGAACGGCAAGTTTTCAAAAAGAAACAGCAATTGTGCTAGCAGCATATGAAGTCGCATTAGAAATAGCCACGCAAAATAAACTCACACAATAGGAGAAAATCTGATCAAACCTTGCATGTTGTGAGATGGTGAAATTAATTTTTGGGGATTGCAGTGAAGTAAAGATGCAACAAATATCTGTTAAATAATACTATTAAGCGGCTTATAGCAGACATGTCCGTAGATGTTAAAGAACACATTTTGAATGAAATCAACCTTTCTCCATTGTTTGCTTTTCAAGTTGATGAATCAACAGACGTGAGTTTGTGTTAGCAGTTGCTTGTCTTTGTGAAATATATTCACTCAGATGATATCAAAGAAGAGTTGCTATTTTGTGAAGATATCATTGAGAAAAATATATACGTTTTATGAAACTGGAGGATTATAAAGGGAAAACTGCTGTGGGGTTTATATGGTCAAAAGTATGCCCTCGCCTAAGACTCTTCAGATGTAATAGATTGACGATAGAAGCATGTGGTTGTATATAAAATGTTTATTGGCCTCCAACTACATGATGATAACGAGAGAGAGCGGAAGTCACGAGACACAACTATTTATAAACATAAAAGGGACATCACTCAAGATAACAGTATAAATATAATACTAATACAAGGAGAGTGAGTTCCCTTGACTTCACAAGTCTCACTATATTACATCCCTTTACCCTTAGTAAACACAACACATCTCTCAATAGAACAATTTACAGTATCCTAAAATCACCAATTATATTGTAACATGAACACTATGGTAGATTACATCCTTACAAACAATGCACAATATGTTACAACATAATTAAATACAAAACAATGATGTCAAAGTCCTTTTGACCTTTAAAATCATAGGTCTAACTTATTTGGGACTTTGATTGTCCTGCTTGACCTTCTCAGTGGCTTTTGATTTGGTGACTCAAGATTCTGACCATCTGGATTCTCTATCTCAGGAGGTCTAGGATCTAAATCATTAATTCCAGAATTTACATTTTCTGACTCTAGACTACTTGGTTCACTCTTATCAACAGAACTTGGTTGTGGAACAAACTGAGTTGGTGTGAACTGATCAGATTTGGTGGGATTGACAGATTCACACTTATTATCTGTACAAGTTATTTTTAACTGGTCTGCATGTCTACGGACAATAAGTCCATCATTTGTTTTTACTTTATAAGACACAGGTCCTGTACATTGAACAATTTGACCTGGTATCCATTTTTCCTTTCTCCCATAAATTCTCAGATACACATTCTCATTAACACCAAATTCTCTTTCAATGGATGTTTTGTCATGATTTACTTTTTGTGTATGTTGATGTTGGGAAACAGACCTTTGAACAGTTGGATGTAGTAGGTCAAGATGAGTTTTAATTTTCCTACCACATAGCAATTCGCATGGTGCAACACCTGTTGTTATATGAGGAGTTGTGTGGTATTTGGCTAAGAACCTGTTTACTCTTTCTCTGAGAGAACATTTGTTACCGGTACTCATTTTTACCATAGCGGTTTTGAATATGCCTACCGCTCTTTCAGCCAAACCATTCCCAGCAGGATGATAGGGGGATGTGGTTATATGCTCAATACCATTTGCCACACAAAACAGTTTAAACTCATGAGCTGTGAAACTAGGCCCATTGGCCAGTCCCAGTTTTTCAAAGGTGCTGTAGCTGGTTGATTTGAATGTTGTGCACAGCTTGAACAAAGCTTTACATATTTTTCAATATCAGCATCCATATGTGGCCACCAGAACCATGATCTTGCTAGACTCTTCATTTTGGAAGAACCAAGATGAGTATCATGTAAAGTTCTTAAAACTTCTTTTTGTAAAATTTTGGGGATAATTACTCTTGACCCCCATAGTATACATCCATCTTCTAGACTTAACTCTGTTTTTCTTATTTTATATGGCTTTAAGTCCTCATTCACTGACTCTTCAGGCCAACCATTCTTACAGTACTCATATACTTTTGTTAAGCACTCATCTTTTTGTGTTTCTCTTTTAATATCATTCACATTTATATTGGAGTTATCCATGATAGTGAAGAGAACAAATACATCTTCTGGTACATAGCTAAGGCTTTGGTTTTTTAAAGGTAATCGACTAAGACTATCTGCACTATTCTCAGATCCAGGTTTGTATTTCAATTCATAATTGTATGCAGTTAATGTGATAGCCCATCTTTGAATTCTTGGTGAGGCATGCTCAGGTAGGGGTTTGTTTTCCCCAAATAAACCTAGCAATGGTTTATGATCTGTAAAGATGGTGAACTTCCTACCAAACAGAAACTTATGAAATTTCTTAACACCAAAAATGATGTCTAAGCCTTCCCTATCTAACTGAGAATAATTTTTCTCAGCCTGGTTCAAAGATCTACTGGCAAAAGCAATGGGTCTGTCACCCTTTTCATCCATGTGGGACAAGACTGCTCCTACACCATTTGGTGAAGCATCACATGTTAATATAAGTCTTTTCCCTGGGTCATAGTGAGTTAGTAAGGTGTCAGAAGACAAAGCTTCTTTTGCTGTATTAAAAGCAGCATCTTGTTGTTTACCCCAGTGCCAAGTTGCATTTTTCTGTAGCAGCTTGTACAGTGGTGATAGTTTACCTGACAGATTCCCTATGAACTTTGCATCGTAATTTATCAAGCCCAAAAAAGCTCTTAGTTGTTGGGTATTTTCAGGTTTGGGTGCTTCTTTAATGGCTTTTGTTTTCTCAGGTTGAGGTCTGATACCTTGCTTGCTTAATATATAACCAAGAAAACTAATTTCTGTCAGCATGAATTGACATTTATCTTTGTTTATCTTCAAACCTTTTTCAACAACTATTTTTAAGACTTTATCTAGTGTTTTAAGATGTTCAGTGTCATTCTTACCAGTTATGTACACATTGTCAAAGTAAACACAAACATTTGGAATATCCTTAAAAATACTGTCCATGACAGCTTGGAAAATTCCAGGGCTGGATGATATACCAAAACATAGTCTTTCATATTGGTAGAGTCCTTTATGTGTGTTTATTGTCGTATAGACTTTTGAATCTGGATGCAGTTCTAGTTGAGTGTAAGCATGACTAAAGTCTAATTCAGTGAATTTGTCTCCTCCTGCCAAATTCAAAGAAATTTCCTCAATGTTAGGAATAGGGTACCTATTTAGCTCTATTTGCTTATTCAGTGTAGCTTTATAGTCTCCACAAATTCTTATAGAACCATCCTTCTTTAACACTGGTACAATGGGCGTTGCCCAATCGGAATAGTCTACCTTCTTTATGATGCCATTAGATTCCAATCTACTTAGCTCATTTTCAATTTTATTCCTCATTGCATAAGGTGGAACTCTAGCTTTGCAGTATCTTGGATTTGTGTCTTTAATGCTTATCTTCACTGTTCTATCATTTAGTAATCCTGAATTACCAAAAACACTTTCATTTTCAGATATAACTTTATCTATTGAAGTAAAACTAGATTCTCTTGCTTTGATCACTGAAGATATACTCTCCCAGTTTAACTTAAGATCACTTAACCAGTTCCTACCTAGTAATGGTGGTCCATTTCCTTCAACCACAAGAAGAGGAAGTTTAACACCTTGACCATTATAACTTACATGAACCATACACTCTCCTATTACCGGAACATTGTCACCAGTGTATGTTGTTAGACACTTGTGACATGGTTGTAGAGGCACTGATCCTCCTGTGACAGCGTCAAGGTCCTTCGTTGTGATGACTGTTAGAGATGCTCCAGTGTCAAGTTGGAAGCTGATGCTCTTACCGTTGATATTAACTAGTACATTGATGGGAGCATGACTTATTGATTTCACAGAGAACAGGTTGAAATCCGGCTGCGAATCAGTTTGAGCATTTTCACTGGTAGAGTGGTTCATTGGTTGGGTTAGGTAGTCTTGGTGAGAGTTAACATAGTGCTGCCTTTGGTTGCGGTACTGTCTTGACTGGCTAGATTTAGCAACAGACGAAGACTTTGCAAAGCAGGCCTTGGCAATGTGACCTTGCTTGGGGACCTTTGCATCGATGACATTTTTGATAATTATTACTAGATTTAGATCTAGGCTTTGAACGTGCAGGCTGTTTAGCATAAGTTGAAATGCTCTGATGGAGTTGGTGTTTGTTGACTAACCTGCTGTTTACTGCATGGATCTCTGAAGGCATTAGAGATTTTGCTGCCTCAGATGACTGCTGGAATGAAGTTGCTAGTTGTATTGCTTTTTCCAATGTGAGATCTGACTCGAGAAGCAACTTTCTTTGAACATCAGGGCTGTTTACACCTGTCACAAACTTTTCACATAGTCTGTCAGACAGCGTGTCTCCGAATTCACAGAATCTACTTAGATGACGTAAAGCAGCAACATATTCTGATATTGATTCGTTTGGTTGACGAGTCCTACTGTCAAATCTAGCTCTACACAGAAACTTTGATGGGGTAGGCGCATGGTGGTCTGTTAGCAATTTGCTCAGCTCGTTAAAGCTCTTGGTAGTTAGACTAGCTGGTGCGCATAAGTCCTTTAGTAGCCTAAATTGTTGAGGCCCTATGACTGTTAACAAAACAGCTCTCTTTTTGGCTTCTATCATCACGTCGTTAGCTTCAAGGTAAAAGCTTAACCTATCTAGATAATCATGAATGGTTTCATCATTCGAATCAAATTCTTTTATTTGGCCACACAGCGCCATTATTCTAGAAATACTTAGCCAATATGCTCTAGCAAGCTCCTTTTTAAGTAAGCATATGCTCTTTCTAGTGGATTATCTATCCTCGTCGCCAGATGTAATAGATTGACGATAGAAGCATGTGGTTGTATATAAAACGTTTATTGGCCTCCAATTACATGATGATAACGAGAGAGAGCGGAAGTCACGAGACACAACTATTTATAAATATATAAGGGACATCACTCAAGATAACAGTATAAATATAATACTAATACAAGGAGAGTGAGTTCCCTTGACTTCACAAGTCTCACTATATTACATCAGACTCCATTGCTAAAGGCACTTAATTCAATAATAAATGTCGTAAATTATGTTAGCTGGTACTCTATTGTTTATTCTTTAGTAAAATAGTTACATAGTTGTTCATTAAAGGGGATTAGGTGCTTGTTACAAAAACCCAAGGGGTTAATCTAAGATATTGGGGATGATCAGGCCAGGGAAATCTAAAATTTAATAAAATATTATCGGCTCATGCTGGTCGTTAAGGGGAGACTCATCAGGTTTAGCACTGTTTTTTTTTTCTAAATGCCTGTGTATTTACTATATTTCCCTATTTTATGTTAAGGGCTACGAGCTCTATGCAGGTGCATGAGGAGTGACACGTAATGATGAGAAGACACCCGCGTTGATTTATGTCTAAAGTTGAGTCCGGGCATCCCGCTGGACGTCACGGTAGAATCATTTATCATGACCTGCAGGTGGACGCCAGTCATGATTCCGATGACCATAGAGAAACATCGCATGGTCTGGATCGACGCGAGTCAGCGTGGGGATCTGTAGTGTTCAGTTGTCAGGTGGGATGCGCGGCGAGAGTACAGCGTGGTCGTGGATGGATGGATGGATGTGTGTCCGCAATGGATGGATGTGTGTCCGCAGTTTTAAGTCGAACTCCTCCTCAACGAAGCAATATCGAGGACTAGTTCCAAAAGAAAATATGTTAAGCAAGTTCCAAGGATGATTGTGGGCCAAAAAAATTCCCGGAATTCCTTCCTGGATTTCCCAGAAAAGCCAAAAAAAAAACCTCGAAAAAAATGCAGTTTTTTCACATATCTCGGCAACCAGACCACTTAGCGACTTGAAACATTTACCAATCGATTCCTGCCATAATTTAGACCAATATTGCTGAAGAAAGTTTTCAAAAATATCCTTTCGTTCGGTCTTAAAAATTAATTAAGAACATTTAAACTGAGCATCGTGTAGGCCTAGGATGATATTTTTAATTTAAACTGAGCATCGTGTAGGTTTTTAGCGCAAAAAATATCCGTTCGTTCGGTCACAAAAAATTAAAAATTGTTATGGATAACATAAGGAAATTGCGCTTAAATTGTCACTAGACTATTTATTAACTTGTTTTCCTAGCAAAAACTGTGACTTTTATTTGTGTTTTTTTTTCCTGTGACTTTTTTTCCGTTCACCATGTAATTTGGCCCAGGCTACGCCTCTAGATGCTAGATCTATTGAACCCCAGACAAATGTACTATGTACTCACAATTGACTGAAAACAATTTTTTTGGAGTTGCATAATATATTTCACGGCGTTTTACCGTATTTAGTATAACCCTTCTGAAAATTAAATAACTAAAAACATCAGAATCTAAGTCGTAAAGTCGTAAACACTAAGAAATTCGTAGACTAGTAAGAATTTCATATTTTATTAAAGCACAAAGAATATGTTGTGACAAAATAGATCTAGATCTAGAATCGAGAACTAGATTCTAGATCTAGGTAGATCTATTTCTAGATTCTAGTTACTAGTAGTTAGTACCTGACTGAGTCACTGACTCTTGACAGTCTTGAGGCTGAGCTTGAGTCTTGAGAGTACCACAATGACCACATCAACTTTTTAATTACTTTTAATTCTAGTTCAGTTCTAGATTTCTAGAGATAGAGATAGAATGATAGATTCTATCTAGATCTAGAATAGTTCTAGATCTAGAGATCTAGACTTAGGCCTAATCTATCGTTTCAGGACATTTTCTTTTAGGTTCGTAAAATCAGCCAAGGCTAGATTTAGTAATGTGCAAAAAAGTTGCTCCATTATAATGATTATTTATTCATTAAAGCTTAGGCCTACGTAGTATATTATAGATCTAGATCTAGTAGTTTTTCTTACTATATGTTAGTTTTTCTCACTAAATCTAGAATTTACGCAATTATCAATTTAAACATGACCACTGAATAATAGACATCCATATTTAATCCATTAGGCACTAACTTTGGAGTTTTTAGTTCTTTTTAAACTAAATTACTTAATTTAATATTTATTGTCAATCACTGCCATGTCCAACACATCTCTCCATGACAACTCTTCTAACCCTTGAAGGTAAAGAAAACCACAAATCAGGTTAGACTTTTTAAGTGGCCATGCACAAGAGTTCCTCGCTAGTGATCTCCAAATAGTGGTCACGTGGTTTATTTTTCAAAAAAAATTTGGTTGTCATTTTTGGAGCTGGTGTTATAAAAAAAGTGTTGACGATATTTGATTTATTTTTTCATAGACTGATAAAACTAATAATGCTTTACTATGGAAATGAATTTTGTAATATGGAAATCGATATTTAAAAAGTTCTAGTATTTTTGATGAAACCAACTTTTAAATTTAGCCTTCATTCTCCAACGCAAATTTTAAAATGCTTTTCTGGCATATATAGCCCTGCCACCTATAGCATAGCATGTTGTTATAACGTGAAAGTCCCGCCATTTTGTGCGTGGTAAACATTTTAAAAACTAATTAGTAGAAGGTCTCTGGAATTTGGCCGAAAAATCGTCGGAAGTCAAGCGTCCGGTCCGGGCGCCATATTGTTGTTAGCAACCGGCCACTCCTCCGGGTTAGCGAGAAATACTACTATATGTGAAATCTACTCAATTCTCAATTTAAACATGACAACTGAATAAAAAACGTCCATACTTTATCCTCTAGGCACTAATTTTGGGGGTTGTAGCGAGTTTAGACTAAATTATTGAATTTTAAAATTTTTTGTCACTCACAGCTATGATATGACGTAGTCCGTCTTGTTGCTTAGATGGCTGGATTGACCTCTGACCCTGAAACGTCACACGTCGTTTTCTGACGGTTTTTACGTTTATTTTAGGGGTCCTATCCACGACAAATGAAAAAACTGTTAATCTCGTAAATTCTTATCATTATTTTAACATAAGATGCTAATAAAATGGATAATATGCCTTAGAATGCCAGAAAAAAATCGCTAGAATTGTAGTTGTAAATAATGAGAGGATTTCTAGTGGAGTACTCTCCGTATAAACTGAACCGCGGCCAAAAAACGACCATATAACGGGGAAAACGGCCCGTATAACAGTAGATTAATATAAAATTGAGATATTTACCATGTATATTTACAGTATTATGGATTATCTTTACCAAAAATCCAAGTAACCATGCGACAATTTCTCTCTGCTATTTTTAGTAACGTTGCATCATTGTTACGCTAGTTGCCAGACAGAAACAACTAGTTTTTTGTTTTTTGCGGAATGAACTGTTAAGTCAAGTATTTTAATTATAATTCAATTGTAGCATGTGCGGAAAAAGTAAAATTATGGACATTATTATTGTATTAGTAATTTTATTTGTATATTGATTTTTTTCTTCTCTGTGGGCCGACAGTTGCTGCATTCGTGACCGGTGGTTAACCTCGTCAACGCTGCGTGGCCTATTCGTTTATATAATTAGTGATGCTCGTTCAGTGGCCTTTTTCAGAGCCAGGCCTAATTACGGGCGATTTTTAGAGTTAATTGATCGGCCGTTAGCCTTTTTCATTGCTGCGTATTTAAAAAAATGCTCGTTCAGCTGCCTTTTTTTTTTGGCGCTAAATAATCTGTTAGCGGGCATTTTAAGCGTTTATTTATTTTTTTTAAGCTAGATGTAGATCTAGTTAAAAAAAATAATCTAGCATGCCTGATATGAGAACTTTAAAAAAAAAAAATTACCGAACTTTTAAAATAATGACCAGAAGTAGGGAAGTAGGTCTGTTTTTTATTTTGCTTGAAGAAGGGAAGGGGGGAAAGAAGTGAAGACACCGACCATCTCGTGTACACGTGTTCATTCTATGACGTGTACTATAGGCCTGCTGAAGTCACGGTGACCCCGTGACCGTGGTGGGATTTTTCATCAACAGGATAGTAAACGCAAGCAAGCAATCACGCCAGTGACGATGTTTGCAGATTTTATTTTTAAAAAAAATCACACACGTCATGTTTTCAAGATGAAAAAAAATGTAATGTAAAAAAAAAAAAGACACTAATACCATGTATGAACCTCAGCTGCCACACTGTTGACTCAATATAATGTGAATTGAGTGTAAAATGTATTTGTATTTATAAACTATAATATCATTTTAAGCATATTTATTATTTAAAATTAGAATTTGAAATAAAAATATTTATTATGGTCATTTGATTTATGCAGGTGTTCATTATTGCATAAAATGCTTAATTTGTGGGGATGTTTTTTTTTTCTGTTCTTTCCCTTTTCACCAAATTTCTCTCACTCCACCCCCCTCCCATATTCACCATTAGGCTGAAACAAATTTTTCCAATGGGATATGTTTGGAAATGAGTTTGGTGTTATTTTAAAAAACCTCGATGCACGACCCATTGCAACTTTTTTTGAGTGTTATTTATTTGTACTAATTGTGAAAATTTCTAATTTTTTTCCTCTGTGGCTTAGGGTAAGGCTTGTATTTCGGAAAGCTTTTTGTGGGGGCACCTAAATGTCTGGACTACCTGGCCTGCAAGCGTATTTTAGATTACTTCTTTTCTCTAAGTTGGAATTTTTTTTCAGCATAATCAATCTAGAAGTATATAAATATGGCCCATGCAACACAGTCACAGTCTTCTGGTGCTGCATCATCTTTCCCACAGCCAACAACATGTAAGGATTAACTGTTGTTGTTGTCTGTTAAATTAGACTCAGCGCTTATTCTTTACTTTTTAACTGTTTACAATTTGTTTTGATTAATCATTTCTTAGCTGACATAGTAAAATTTCCATGGCGTCGGGAATCTACTCAGGAAATAGCTGTGATTGGAGTCAATAAAGAGGCAAAGGCTGGAGAATTTATCTTACAGAACTTGTTTCTGGAATTCTGTCGTGTTACTGAAAGAAGGATTGAAATTGTTTTAGCAGAACCATTAGTATGTATCTACATTTTTTAACAGTAATTTATAACAGTTATCAACAAACCTAATGAAATAAAACTTATACAAAGGCCTAAACTCAAACACTAGCAGTCTGATCATCTATTAGCAATTGAATCTAAATGCTCTTCACACTGTCATTAAATTACCATACCAAGATATGTCACCACCACTACTATCAGGCCGTTTAATGAAAACATTACAAGTCAATACCACCAACACTTTTAAGCGTTATGTCCCCTATTTGGTAAAAACCTATGATGGGTGTTACACAGTCCCCCACTAAAGAAACAAATGTAGAGTTTTCACATGATGTGAGTAAAATAAATATTATAATTAATATAAAAAATGTAGACACTAAATCAAGTACAATTCAGTAGTATTCACAAATTCTCTAGTCCTCATGACTTACAAATTTTGGATTACGCATTAGACTGGTTTTGAAACTGGTCACCTGTTAGTTAATAAGCAATCATTATTTACCCAACAAAGGCTACCAAAATAGAGTTCTCCATCATAAAAAAACCTTCAAAACATCTTTGATTAAAAATAATAAGAAAACAGTTCGTTCAGTGTATAGAATAAATAAAAGGCAGTATTAAAGATACCTACAACGATATTGCACTTGATCAATTCCCGCTAATTATGTAATTATTTTTCCTAACACCAAAACAAAGTAATAAAAAGTAAAATTTCTCCCCCCCCCCCCTCCCCCCCCCCCGCTTTTAATAATGATTTTTATAGAGGGAAGTATTTGTGTTTTCCTAATTTTGCAAGGGACGTAATGAGCTCTAAAGTACTAAATGTAAATAATTTTCAGACACAGTTTTAGAAGTTAGTGAGCATTGATACATTTTTAAAAAATTTGGTTTCATGAACATGCCGACAATTATTATTATAAGTTTGAAAAATGAAAATTGTTTTACATTACCTTGAATATTATTTTTTTTAAATCATGAATTTAGACCATGAGCACTTTAGACATTTAACACTTGACGTTATTTAAGTATCGTTTTTTCTTATATTTTTTTTGTAGTCCATGATAAACATACATTTTACGAACATACAGAATTGAACTTTAAATATTAGATTTTTTCTGTCATAACTTTCTGCTCAGAAAGTATTTACCTAAAGCGATTTCCCTAAAACAACAGAAATTAATTTCTGGCACACAAATCAACCAGCTTAAAAAAACAACAACCCATACTGAATCTTATTTAAACAGACTGGAAAAACATGTTCTACTGAGAAAAAACCCAACTCAAGATGCTAAGTGGGAGCAATAACAATATGGTGTGGTTTATCTCATGATTATAAGAAATGAAGTTGAGGTCTTAGTTTGTAAGGGATTGTGGGGGGGGGGTATATATATATATATATATATATATATATATATATGTATATATATATATATATATATATATATATATTTATATATATTTGTTTATATATATATATATGTATATATATATATAGAGAGAGGGGGGGGGGGGCGAAAAATATTTCCCCTCCTGGCTGGGGCTCATAGATCTCAGACACTGGCAGAAAAAGAAGTACCTCAGGTTGAAAGGGTTAAACACCTTATACCTTTTTTTATTTATAGGAAAAACCATTGTCAAAATCTCTACAAAGAGGAGAAGATCCACAGTTTGATCAGGTAAGCTTAAGATCTACCATCGCTTGTGTAGTGTACTTAAGCTTGTCTTTTAAGTAGTTTTTAGACTCGAAAATTATTATAATTCATTTTTTTTAAAATTCTGTTCTGAAGATGGAAGCATAACATTAATAATATATTGTTTTCTAAGTACTAGAATATAAAGTTGACAATGTCTTAAAATATTTTCAAAGAATTTTTTGCTTGCTATTGCTCAATATTTCAGATTTTGAATGCCCTTGGAAATGTAGCAGAGCACTGTCTGCCATCAATTTTAAAAACACTCTTCTCCTGGTATCAACGACAGATGAAAGAAGACAGCCCATTGCTGGACACAAGACAGAGACACAGAAGCAAAGGGTACACATTTTTTTTACTCATTTGCTTAGAGCTTTGATGAAAATATTTTATTAAAATTGAAATCAGAATTATTTTAAAGTGTTTTATGTAGCCTAATTTAATTATACGAGCTGACCCACGCCGTAAGCATACGCCACTATTTAGTTGTGAATTCGATACTACCCTTTCCCCCCTTTCTCTTCCCCCCTCCTCCCTCTTCCCCCCCCCCCCCCCCCGTGAAAACAGCCCTCTGTGACGACAGTTTACAGACGACAATGAAAAGATCAAGCAGCACTTTTTAGCTCTCATTAGTTTCAAATTGTTTAAGAGTTAAATTATCTGCCCCTAATAGCCGTCACATTGTAAACATTCGGGGTGAACCACAGCTCACCAGACTGGTGTGGTGGGGATGGTAGCAATATATCTAGAGAGCGGGGTAGGTGTTTCGCATGGGCCCCATGTAGAGAATTATATATATATATATATATTGCACTGATTTTACAAGATTAAGAATATTTTTCAATTAATTTTAATAATTATATTTACAGACATGCCTACCGTCCCGCCAAAATCGGAACCGTCCCACTTTTTCATCTAAAAAAGTAATTTGTTCCGTCATTCCGAATTTGACTCATTTTGTCCCGATTTTTTTGAAAAAATAATTAATAAAGAAAGATAATAAAGTGAATTGAAAAAAAAGACAGGGAAAGGCGATTACCTCCCTTTGGCATACGTTTCTGTTTCCCAGTTTACTTACAATATTTACAAGTATCATCTAATACTAGATCTAGCTAGTAGTATATCTACTATCTACTACTACTAGATCTAGAATTGTAACTAGATTCTAGATCTACTAGTAGATACTGAAATAGTGAATACTGATCTATCTTGTATTGTAATTTAACTATTAACTACTATTATCAATTATGAAGAACTTAGTAAAAAGTAACTAGGACTTTTACTAGATTCAAGGTAGATCAAGGGTCTTTGCTCTTAACTTATATATAGTACATATAAAGTTAAAGTCTTCAGCTTTTGATATTCATATAGTTTGTAACATAGCAAGGCATAAATAATCTAATCAATAATGTTATGTCAAAGCTGGGGAGGGGGGTGTCTCAGGTTACTGGTTAACTTTTAAAAAAAATGTAAGTTGACATCAAGCAGTATTAAAATGTAGCCTAGAGACTTGTGATATATGACTAGAAGCCTACTAATGTCATTAGACTAATTTTTAATTAATTTTTTTTATTTTTGATTTAGTAAAGTAGCATCCATGCGTATGTTCCTCTTTTTGGCTACAAATTCCTCTTTTTAGGCATGACTGTTCCTACTTTTGGCTGACAGGGGTAGGCATGTCTGTATTTAGTCATAGTGGAAATTATTTTAGAAAGTGAATCATAATAGTCATCAGTACTGAACAAAATGATCTATTAGACTTCTCATTTTTGTCTTTAATTGGTTGAACATATTCTTATACATTTTAGGAGTAAAGACTATCTCTGCGAAAGAAGAGATGTAAGTGATTTTCAAAACTACTTTTTCCCAAGTATTAAAATGTAGCTTATTTTACAAGGATTTGTATGTAATGAAGGAGTTTTTTTTGTTTTCTTGAAGTTAAGTGTATGCTAGAAAAAAAATGGACTATAAAAGATTATAAATGAATAAAAATGGTAATTCCAGCAAACCTTAAGAATTTTGAGAGAAAACTTTGTCTGGAAAGCCAATTATTATAGAAGCGGTGATTTGATTTGAATTTAAAGTGTAAATATAAATTTATATAAATATAAATTGTATTCAGATAGATTTTAAATACAAAAAAATTTTTTTCAGTTGGCACTGGAGTTTGTCTATTGTCTTGTTCTTATAGAGGTTTTATCAAAGGTAAGTCTGTTCTTATTGAGGTTTTTATAAAGTCTCCACTAAGTTAAAATTGTGGTTTTATTAAAATTTCAAGTGAGTTAATGTACTGAAATATTGATTTGTTCTGAGAGGCTGTTTGTACAAATGCTGCTGATTTAATCTAAGAAGCCGTTAGTATGAATGCTAATTATTTAATATGAGAATCTGTTAGTTCAAAAGCGTTGATTTAATCTGAGAATCTGTTAGTACAAAAGCATTGATTAAATCTGAGAATCTGTTAGTACAAAAGCATTGATTAAATCTGAGAATCTGTTAGTACAAAAGCATTGATTAAATCTGAGAATCTGTTAGTACAAAAGCATTGATTAAATCTGAGAATCTGTTAGTACAAAAGCATTGATTAAATCTGAGAATCTGTTAGTACAAAAGCATTGATTAAATCTGAGAATCTGTTAGTACAAAAGCATTGATTAAATCTGAGAATCTGTTAGTACAAAAGCATTGATTAAATCTGAGAATCTGTTAGTACAAAAGCATTGATTAAATCTGAGAATCTGTTAGTACAAAAGCGTTGATTTAATCTGAGAATCTGTTAGTACAAAAGCTATTGATTTGCTTTATGTTTCAGCTCTCTTACCACCCAGGTCATGAAGACCTTGTGGGGTACATCATAGATCAGTGTTTCAGACATTTTAAGTACAGAGATGGGTAGGTAGAATCTCTTCAAATATCTTCATATACATTACAGTTCTGACGAAAAATGTGTACATTTATTAGCTAATGTGTAAAACTTCTCCTACAAAACTTCCATTTATGACATCTAAAAATCTTTTTTTTAATATATCAACTTCTACTACCCCCTACATACATCCACTTTGAATGAAAAAATATAACAGTAAAATTGTATTTAAAAAAATGTCCCTTGACTTGCATAGTTCTTTTGGTAAAACTCTGTTCTTTTGGTCCACATAACATACAATAGAAACCTTGATGGATCACCCAAGTTCTGTCTAGTTGAAGTTACCTAAGTGCATATTTGTTTTTAAAGTTCTGCTTCTAAATTGGTCATAAGCTTATTAGGTTTTTCTGTCCAAACTTTTGAACATTAGTGGGAGGGATGAAATGGGTTATCTGTGCCAGCTAAAATACTGTAGTTACAGTAAGATATAAAACCTTTGGTTAAATACTATAAAAATAGTATTCAAAATAAGTCAAGAACTGTAAAACTTATCATCAAGCATCATTACTGTGGATCCCTTGTGGAACATGATGCAACCACACCCCTTCATTGTATTCCAAAATTGGGCAATTCCTCTGCTACCATTCTGCTGCTTCTTTTCACTCACAACTCATCTTTTCCAATTTTCTATATGCCTACCTACTGTCCTCTTCCCTTGTAGCAACATTACCTATATGTGACACTGAAGAACATGAATAAATTATATAAAACAGTTAAAATAGAATGATTGATTGTAGTCGATATATTAATGTAAAATTTGCAGGTGAAAAGTCAATATTCCTGAATTTGATTATATTTTTGAATCTATGAACTATTTATCTAATGGAAAAAAGTATGTAAATTATTCTCAAGAATATTTTCTTAACGTATCAACCCCTTAAACTTTATTTTTCACAACATACTCATAAAAGTATCTAAATTGCCACTAAACTTACATGCCACCTTTTGAAAGCTGGATTTTCCAGTTTTAGAATAAGGCATCTTCCATTTGTTATGAAATCATTCAAACAAAATATAAAGCATTTTACATATTTTTTTTTAAAATAGCTATACATATTTTTTTTTTGGATGCCCAAACCATCAGCTTGTCTGAATCAAATCAGAATCTGCCTTTGCAAATGTAGTTTGAAAACAGGGTAACCATACTTTATATGGTTTCAGAGATTTTTTTTACAGTTAACCATTTTTATAAGTATTAAGGGGAAAAATAATTAGACAGTTTGTTATTTACTAATTAAAACTTTTGACCCACCGCTAACCCTGCACTCCACCGGTAGCTACATGTAGCCGACGCTACCTACAGCATGCCGTTACATGCATCCCAACGCTAACTGTAGCCCGAATCTACCTGTAGCTACCTGTAGCATGTCGCTACCTTACCCCATCAGTACATGCATGATGTAAAAATTTAGGATTTCAAATATTAATTTAGACATTTTGCTATTTTTTCATTTTTCTCATTAACATTTTTTGTAAGAATACAATTTTTCTCAGAAGCCTTTTGTATTATTTAACTTCATAAAACATTTATACCCAATAAATCCCACCCTGCTATTTTTCTTGAAATTTGAAGTGTCATTTCTAACCATACTGTATCAAAAGTACTTTATCAGTTTAAAAATTTAATTGCGTAATGTTTAAAAGCATGACAAATTGTAAGGTAAATATGGAAGGTTAAAACCAAAAATCTAAAAAAAGTCTTGTGGTTTTTTTCAAATTAAAATTGTGCAAAATACTTCCTCTGATAGCTAGTTGCACAAATAAAGAAAATATGACGTCACAATCCCTAAACATTTATCAGCCTAGGCATCAAAACTATTGTACTTCCCCTGCGGCCGAGCAAAAAGACGACGCATTTTTCAACTTTAATTAAAAAAAAAAAATAACCACTTACTTTAAAAAAAAAATAAAATAAAAAGCAATATACACAAAACTGGTCCAAGTTTATTATGCATGAGGTTAAATAGCTTAATAATTTACTAATAAATAATAAAAATAACACTAATCCCAGAAAAATGTAAACAAAACATTACTTTTAATATTATTTCTATAAAAGTTTTATTTCTTAATGCTAAAAAAAAATTCAACGTAGTCACAGGAGCTACTTTCTTTTTCAATAGTTACATTATAGATAAATCCAGATTCAACTGCAGAGGCATTTCAATTAGATTTAATTTCACTAATTATATTGTCAGTAATTTTTAGTGGAAAAATTCTTAACTTTAGAAAAATCATAGAAAATGAACCACAAGTGATAGAACAAAAAGAAAACAACATAATAAAATTTATTATTCCAGCTTCCACCGGTACACAAGTGATAGAAAAAAAAGAAAACAGCATAAATAAAATTTATTATTCCAGCTTCCACCGGTATCTTCTAAATCTTGTTACCAACAAGACTTCGGCTACTACCCGTAAATAAACGTAATATATAAAGTGGACTGCCGGCGCAAAGGACTGTACCACACATAAAAATTCTTGGTCAACTATAGGCCTAAACGTTAACAATCTTGATAATTCTATTGTCAGCATTTTTTATGCTGTGATATTTGTATTATATTTTTGGGTAAAAATGAATTGAAACTGTCTTAAAAATTTTTAAACCAAAGTTGAAAATTATTAAATGAACTGTGGTTGATTAGAGAAGAAATTCTAGAAATATTTAGGATCATAATCTCCTGATTAATATACATAGAATATATATTTTTAACACAATATTTTAAGAGTGTGTTTGCTCTGTTGTACAGACATTAATTTTGCTGAGCTAGCGAGTTTGATCTCTTCCAAAACTACAATTAAGAATAATGAATAAAGTAGGTAAAGTATGTTTAATAAGTTTGCAAAGTAGTTCTGAGAACACCATTGCTTCCCTAAATGTGGTGCGGAATTGAGTATACTGCTCACTATCCACAAATGAAGTCACCCTTTTTCTTTACAGACCCCCACCCAACCACAGCTTATCCTCACTGTTGTCAGACATTTTCTCCAGACCTCTTCCCCCCCCCCCCCTCCCCCTCCCCCTTTCGTAAAATGACAGTGAGGTCTAGCAGATAGCACAAAGCTAGCTAAACCGATAGTTAGCAGGTGACTGTAGGTCATCTTGTAACCAAACTGTCCCTCGCTTTCAAAAAACCAGGTGACAAGATCTCATATTCAAAACTGGTGGTAAAAGTCGTGTGCAAACCCGCTTTCTTTGAAATCAGGAATGTTTATTTTTACTCAGCCAGTTTCCTTTTAATTTTTACTATTACTATGATGTTTGATTTAAATAATTAAATTTAGCCAGTGGACTATTTTTATTTCAATAATTTCTGATTAACCAATTGTAAATTTAAAAATGTATCATCTTGCTAGGGATACTCCAAGTAATAAAAAATACTAATTTTGGGGTTTGTTTCCCCATCATCATTTTGTATACAATTTTAACCAATTTTTACTTTCATTCAGGATAGGTGCAGTTGTACCTTCATGTTTTAGACTTTAGAGAGCTATTTATCCTGTTAACATAAATTTGGTATCATTTTGCAGCATTTTGTCCTCAAAATACAATCCTGTCATTATTTTGTCATTTCAATTAGTTTTAAAAAATTTCATGCAACAATCTAATATAAAAGTTTTTTGGCATTTGTATATTTTTCAGCCTCCAAACAAACCCCAATGCATCTAATATCAACATTATTGCTGACTTGTATGCTGAAGTCATTGGTGTACTAGCAAACTCCAGGTACCTTATTCACTCACCATTTTTATTATTTTTGTATATTATTTAGTATTTAGCTTTTTTTGCCTTAAATTAATACTTTTGAAATATCAGTATTTAAAAAAAAATCCCTTAAGTGAGGCCACAGCTAATGAGCCAAATAAATGTATAGCTTAAAAGTAACAGACCAGAAGCTCCAGGTGGCCCACAAATTAAGAGCTAACTAGTTTTGCTGACATCAGCATAAGGAAGGATGTTGTGCTCAGCACTTTCCGTCCGTCTTTATTTCCTTGACTGCAGCTAAATACCAATTAGAATTTGAACACAATTGTGATTTGAACTACATTTGATTTAGCTGCTAGAGTCAGACTTATTCACAATTTGGACTCTATATGGTTGTTTTCTTAAGTGTATACTAGCTAGAAATAATTTAATGATGTATATTAAATTAGGTTTGATAGTAAGTAACTACTAAGTAAAAAAATACATACAGTCACTACCTCATGTACGTGCAACATTTTTTGCCATTTTGACACATTTTAAAGTCTGATGCTATTACTTTTTTGGAAGGAATTTTGCACAAGAAATTAAATAATACCAAAGTTAACTCTTTCCAAAGATTTCTAGTGTCTCATAAATGGGATGTTAGCAGTAAATAGGGCTTTGAACTGTTGCATGATACCACTGTTTCTTATTTATTTACAGATTTTTAGCTGTTCGTAAAAAATTTATGGGTGAACTGAAGGAATTAAAATTAAGAGACCAAACACCATACACTGCCCAGAGTATCATCAGTTTGCTCATGGGTCTCAAGTTTTTTAGGGTCAAGGTAAGTTGGCAGCTTAATAGATGCTGCCAGTGAATTTTAGCTGTATTTTATCAATTTTACTTTATACAAATGTCTTAGTAAAATATCACTCCATTTTTAATGAATATTACATTTCTTTTCACGTCAATTTGTTTATTGTAAATTCTTCATGTTTTTGCTCTAGATGCATCCAATAGAAGAGTTTGAACTGTGTGTGCAACTGTTGCTTGAGCTAGGCCATTACTTCCTTGAAGTTAAAGACAGAGATATTAAACATGCATTAGCTGGTCTCTTTGTGGAAATTTTATTACCAGTTGCTGCAGTAAGTGAAGTCTCTTATGTAAGAATACACTTTTTCTGTAGTAACACGCTTTAACACAACAACAAACACTTTCTTCTATGTTTGTATGTTGTTACATGGTCCAACACAACGACAGTGTTTGTTTGTATGTAGCAGCATAGTCCAACACAACAGGACACGTTGGCAAAGCTGTCAGTCCTCAAGTAGATCCCAGCTTCTGTTAGTAAGTTCCATGAGATTAGTGGCCAAACAATCTTTCCTACTAAAATTGTCATAGATGCAGATAACTTATTTTTATCATCAAGATTGCCAGATCAGTAAAATGTGTTTTTAATCAATTCTTATTTCTTTCTTTTTTTATTTCTAGACTGTCAAAAATGAAGTCAACATTCCTGTATTAAAGAAACTAGCTGAAGATCTATACTCATTCACAGTGGACATGGCTACTAAACGAAAGCACACTCTAGTATGTTTATTTTTTTTGCTTGCTAAAGGTGGTTACCAATTGAGTTGTCAACCAACTTGCTTCATCCCAGGAATAGAAGCAAAACGTTTTAAAATTGAATTTTTTTTGTTTATGGGTCTCTAACATTACTGGCATTGTCTTATTGATATCTTGTAGATATTGCGGTCACTGCAACCCGTGATTTTTTAAATTATTTCTTTTAGATTCTAGGCCTATGTGAATTTACTGTGACCTTGCAATGTAGTTTAGTGGTAGATGTAGATCTGTAACTATTAAGTTTTCAAGTAACCAAGAAAAAAACAACACAGTTTGCTTATTTTCCTGAAGAAAATTAACAGCTAATGACATCATCAGTAATCTTGAATGCACTAGGGGCACAATACAAACGTTAAGGAAAATTAATTCAATTACGCCCCTCTTGAGGATACCTACTATAGATCACAAAAAAATTCGCTAATAGGAATGAAAATGTGAATTTGTATTTTGTCAAATATTTAGTCAGAAGATAAAAAACTAAACATTTATCTTTCTGTATATCAAAGGCATATTCATTGTGTATTCAGTTTCACATCCCACAAATACTAAGAACTTTATCCATGGCAAAACACAATCTTGTTCTAGTTCATTAAGCATACACATTGAAGAGTACAGAGGACAGGGTAATAGTTGACTGGTCAGAATGGGGGGGGGGGAATTGACAGGAGGGTAATGTCCACACATTAATACTGTTCTACATATGTTACATGTAACAAAATATACAATTGTGAGTTTGCACTGTTCTTAACTTTTGCTTCTTGTGTTCCAGCACCTGTTTCCTCTGATCACATGTCTACTCTGTGTCAGCCAGAAGCAATTTTTCCTCAATAACTGGCACTATTTCCTTTCTATGTGTTTGTCTCAGCTGAAAAATAGAGATGTGAAAATGTCCAGAGTTGCTCTCGAGTCCCTCTACAGGCTACTCTGGTAAATAACTTTTAGGCTGTACAAGTTTTCAGTATTGAGTAGGAGAGGATTTTTTGATACAATTATTTTCCAACATATATTTTAGGGTCTACATGGTTCGCATCAAATGTGAAAGTAACACTGCAACCCAGAGCAGGCTGCAGAGTATCGTTAACAGTCTATTTCCTAAAGGCTCTAAACTAGTCACTCCCAAAGATATGCCATTAAACATCTTTGTCAAAATTATTCAGTTTATAGCAAAGGTAGGTCTTGGCTCACCCATAAATTATTATTTCTAAATAATTTATTAGTAAGCCAATGTATTTGTTGTTTTAATTGTTATTAAATTGAAACCTCAGAGATATGCCAACCAGAACATTTTATAGTGTATGACAACTGCTTAAACAATACAACTTTTGTACCAATGTATGTACTTTTATCTTAGACACCAACAGCCTGTTCAACAGGGCTTTCAAAAACATAATTGCACACAAGCTCATAAATACTTGAGTTGAAATTTTATTAGTTAACATTTCAAATGCTTTGTAGGTTAAAACAACATTGTGCCCCAATGAGTTCATCTCCAGTAAAAGAGTTTTTGAAATGCAGTCTCATAGCCCTGTGTAAATGATGAAAAGTTTCTTTACATGTGTTACATAAAGTTCACTACTATCTAGTATGGCCGTAACCATTAGCAAACACTTGTGAAATTAACAGTAAGAAACTTGTTTTAGAATATGGTTATAGCCCAAAAAATGCATTTTTCAGGAGAGGCTAGACTTTGCTGTGAAAGAAATTATATTTGATTTGCTTTGTGTTGGGCGAAACAAAAATGTTTTGACTCCAGAGGTTGGTACAAAAATTACTTAATATAACACATTTTTTCAACATAATATTTATACAATTTTATAGAAGTAGCAGGTATTTAAGCCACCAGCTTTTTGCTGTCATTTTTGCTGCTTTCACTGTCGCATCTCTAGTATAAAAAGGATAACTGTTAACCAAATGGACAATACTTTCACTGTCGCATCTCTAGTATAAAAAGGATAACTGTGATGGGGTGGTTTCATATATATTATATAATTATATCTTCTCTATATCTTTCTATATTCTGATCTGCTACTATTCATACGACAACTATTATACTTGTGAGTAGGACGGGAATCACTCTTATGTTCCGCAGACACTAATTAGCAAAAGTCAACCACTTCGTTTATGAAAAGAACACTAACTTTATTAATACACACTTATTTACACAATATCAAAGAATACATCCGTCTCCTACAATTACTAACCCCCAACTCACGTTACTGCCGCGGTCTACGTCATTGGTACATTGTCGCGTCATGCTCACGTCACATTCGCGCCACAAATATTGTATTCAACATGCGCACCATACTCTCGCAAATCGTCTACAGTCAAGTTCGCACCGTCCTTTGTAACCTCTACTAGTCGTCTAATTCTTTATATCTACGCTATGACATCTCCTCCCCCCCTACAATTAAAAAAAACTAATACTATTAGTTTTTTTTCTGTCTTCTTAGTCAATCATCGTATAAATACATAGTCATAGCGTCATCAATGACTGAATTATATTAACACAACAATTCCAGCATTCACATTTAAAAAAAAACAAACGACAACAATGTCATGCCGCATCTTGAACTGCCAGTAGAGAACTTTATCATCTGTATAATTTACAAAATATACGTCAGTTAATGAATCTTTATCTTCGGTAAAGACTGTTCCACAAAACTTTATCATTGGCATCTGTGTAGACAAATTTACAAAATATACGTCACTCAATGAATCTTTATCTTCGTTAGATACAGTTCCACAAATGTTTATCATCTGTGTAGACAGTTTTCCCTGTTATACTTGACGTCTAAATGTTCCCTCGATCTTTATAAACACAAAACTTGGCAACACTGTGACTGAAAAACAAATATTTATAAGCTGAAGTTGCCGTTACGACTTGATCGAAAATTGACCGCGACCGTGCGTAAGGCTTTTGTTAGCTGGTTATGGTGACCCTTCTTGCCGTTACGACTTGGTCGGATATTGACCGCGACCATGCGTAAGGCTTCAGTAATCTGGTTAGGATGACCCATCTCACATTGATTTGGTTCCTCTAGATGTGGTACTTGACGTGATCCTGCGGACGTGTCCTTGACGATGTGTTTCATATGTTCACGTTCATGATGTACTGGTCGTTTGACCGCTGCATTTAAGCTGGACATCAGTGCGTAGCATTCACGAAGATGACGTCAGATTCTGAGAAAATATGAGTGGACATGTCGTCTTAAACATATGCCAGCTAAGCGTTTTTGTGCCCGTCGGACAAATAACCTTCCTCTTTTTAAAGAAAAACCCACCAAATTTTGATATGCTGGTTATTTGTCCACGACACACTACATAATAATAATAGTAACTACATTATTATAATTATCAACAAAATACCAACTACATTACTAAATCATTAACTACACACGACTAGCATTAAAATAGAAAGAGATCTACTACACACAAAGAAAAGAACGTGTGTTGTATTGCGTGTCACATATCTGTAGTGCAGGAGCAGCTCTCTGCCTGTGACTGTAGACTGTACATAATCATAATTATTCATCCTCCAATAGCAACTAATATATTCTTCACTTTATGGTTATAATGGAGCAGCTCTCATTATACCATGTTATGACAACGACTTCCTTCTGCACCATCAGAATTGAAAAATTGCTTCACGTCGATATTTACGACGACTTAGATTCATACCATACATTTAGCTGTTCGATACCTTGAATTTACTTTACGTATTAATCCTTGTGTAGTCGCTGTTCAAAACCGTTCGTAAGGGGGTGTGCGTGGTCCAAGTTCTATCCGTCATGGGGTAAAGCACATGGGGCGCTAGGTTAAGGTTAGGGTTGAACAGGTCCGTCGTCTGTCTTGTACTCGTGTGCAGGTAATTTCTTTAGGCTCTGTAGTTTCTTGTACTTTTGACATTATCTGATTAAGTGCTGACCAGGAATAGTAGTAAGCTTTCTCACCAATTGAATTATTTAGGACATATTCTTCATTTTCATTGTTGACTTTTTTCTCTAATCTGAGCAATCTGTCATTAAGTTGATCATTCTGTTTCCACAAACTGAGAACAACTGAGCCGATTTCTGTGATTTTTTTAGACAACTCTTCAGTAACTGTCTTCATGTCTACCACCAAATTATCACTCCTTTTCTGTAGATCGTACATCGTTCTGTTTACCGGTTCGATAGAACTTTGTGTGTCGGCCTGCTCGCTTCTTACTTGTGTTGTATGGTTCATGTTATTCTCAACTTGAAATTGTTTGACACCTCTGATGTTGCCTAGGATCAGATCGTGTGGACCATATCTAAACACAACAGCTTCTACTGTTTTTGTTGCTGATGGCGTGCTAATCTGGATTATAGCTGTTGGCCAAACATATGTTATGCCTCGTGAACTCTGGACATGTTGTGTTCTGCCTGTGTATTGATGTCGTCTAACAAAGTAGCTTCTAACAGCTATTGTTGAGCATCGTGTGTCCCTTATGGCTCGTGCAAATCTGTTGTTAATCTTGGCTGTAAATGTTTCTTTCCTGTTGCTGGCTTCACTAAAAGATGTCATGTATGCTGATCTATAAATTGGTCTCTTGTATTGACGTCTATTCTGCTGTATATTCCGCTGGAGTCTATCATCATATAGTTTCTTACAATTAACCTTTTTGTGACCTGATCTATTGCAGTAATAACATCTGATATTGTGATAGTTCTTTTGTCGACAATAGCTCATCTGTATGTTGTGGGCTGTTGTGGTATCTTCTTGAACTGAGTGTGGCGTATTAATTTTTGTAGTAGGCTTGCTCTCTATTTCACTGTATGAGTCATCAGAATCGTAGTCATAATCATAAGTAGATCTAGGTAGCTCTGCTTTTTGTTGTAGCGTTGACTCATGTTTAGGTTGCTGTGATCGATTCTCTAACTTTAATTTATATTGACGTAGTTCTTCTTCTACTTCTTTTCGCCGTATTTCTACTTGTAGTCTCATTTCGCTTAGTTCAAGTTCAGTTTGTTTTTCAATCTCGGCTTTATAAAGTTCAAATTGTTTTTCCATCTCGGCTCTACGAAGTTCGGATTCTCTTTCTTTTTCTTGCCGAGCCTTGGCAAACATAAATTCAACTTCTGCTTCACGTTTTTTGTAGTCTTCTAATTTCTTATCTGACTCTAACTTTGATTTCCATTGAGCAAGGGTTTTTTGATTGGCTTCTGCTTTAATTCTGTATTCTGCCAAAAACACTTGGTCTTGTATGTTCTGTAATGCGTCCTCCTCTAAAATTCTTCTCTGGACTAACTTAAATGCTTTATCTGCATCAATAACTTTGTCATGCTTTGCATTGTTTTTCTTCTTTAGCCATGCTTCACTACTGTTACATTCTAAGCCTAGCTCGGGTTTAGTTCTGGTTAGTATTTCAGTTAATGGAGGCATGCTAGTGATAAATAATAATAAGTATTTACACAAACAAGTAATAACGGCACCGATAGAAGATAACTGACGCGAGAATCACAACAAAATACTGGACCTATGGTAACAATAGAAGGTAGAGAACGGCAGTACAAACAGGACTTCTACATCTAATAGTAATATGTACTTCTTAAAAGGCAGGCCTACACTCAGTGTGTCCTATCGTTAGGAAGCCTCAGCCAATTTAAGAATAACAAGACTAGATCTATAAAGACATAA